CAACCATAGATACTTTTTTATCCTGGTACAACAAATACTCAGCAATCTCTGCTTTGGTTCAAGCTGTATTCCTGTAACAGTGCATCTGCCCCTGTTTGGCGAGGTGATTAACAGAGCCTAGAAATCTTTGCACAACTTCTACCTTCTCTGCCCTGCGCCATCTATTCATTGACTTTTTCAGACTCTATGTGGTTCTCACCAGGCAAGCACTCCAGTATCTCAAACGCATCTTTATATTCCACATCTAGCGAGTCTATGGACTCGACCACATTACTTGCCTTTTCCACATTATTTATTACGATCCAGATATTTTTCTTTGATATATTGACTTGTTGCAAGATTATTTTATTTCTTTACATATCTCCAAACCTAATCGACAGGCTCTGGTGTTATCAAGACACATTACTCTGCCTTCTTAGACTGATGTTATATGAAGACACATTACTCTGCCTTCTTAGACTAGTGATATATGAAGATACATTACTCTGCCTTCTTAGACTGATGTTATATGAAGATACATTACTCTGCCTTCTTAGACTAGTGATATATGAAGACACATTACTCTGCCTTCTTAGACTGGTGATATATGAAGATACATTACACTGCCTTCTTAGACTGATGTTATATGAAGATACATGTATTACTCTGCCTTCTTAGACTGATGTTATATGAAGATACATTACTCTGCTTTCTTAGACTGGTGTTGTCAAGACACATTACTCTGCCTTCTTAGACTGGTGATATATGAAGATACATTACTCTGCCTTCTTAGACTGGTGATATATGAAGATACATGTATTACTCTGCCTTCTTAGACTGGTGTTATATGAAGATACATTACTCTGCCTTCTTAGACTGATGTTATATGAAGATACATATATTACTCTGCCTTCTTAGACTGATGTTATATGAAGATACATTACTCTGCCTTCTTAGACTGATGTTATATGAAGATACATTACTCTGCCTTCTTAGACTGGTGTTATATGAAGATACATTACTCTGCCTTCTTAGACTGGTGTTATATGAAGACACATTACTCTGCCTTCTTAGACTGGTGTTATATGAAGACACATTACTCTGCCTTCTTAGACTGATGTTATATGAAGACACATTACTCTGCCTTCTTAGACTGGTGTTATATGAAGATACATTACTCTGCCTTCTTAGACTGGTGTTATAAGACACATTACTCTGCCTTCTTAGACTGGTGTTATATGAAGACACATTACTCTGCCTTCTTAGACTGTTGTTGTCAAGATACATTACTCTGCCTTCTTAGACTGGTGTTATATGAAGATACATTACTCTGCCTTCTTAGACTGGTGTTATATGAAGACACATTACTCTGCCTTCTTAGACTGGTGTTATATGAAGACACATTACTCTGCCTTCTTAGACTGATGTTATATGAAGACATTACTCTGCCTTCTTAGACTGGTGTTATATGAAGATACATTACTCTGCCTTCTTAGACTGGTGTTATATGAAGACACATTACTCTGCCTTCTTAGACTGGTGTTATATGAAGACACATTACTCTGCCTTCTTAGACTGTTGTTGTCAAGATACATTACTCTGCCTTCTTAGACTGGTGTTATATGAAGATACATTACTCTGCCTTCTTAGACTGGTGTTATATGAAGATACATTACTCTGCCTTCTTAGACTGATGTTATATGAAGATACATTACTCTGCCTTCTTAGACTAGTGATATATGAAGATACATTACTCTGCCTTCTTAGACTGGTGATATATGAAGATACATTACACTGCCTTCTTAGACTGATGTTATATGAAGATACATGTATTACTCTGCCTTCTTAGACTGATGTTATATGAAGATACATTACTCTGCTTTCTTAGACTGGTGTTGTCAAGACACATTACTCTGCCTTCTTAGACTGGTGATATATGAAGATACATTACTCTGCCTTCTTAGACTGGTGATATATGAAGATACATGTATTACTCTGCCTTCTTAGACTGATGTTATATGAAGATACATATATTACTCTGCCTTCTTAGACTGATGTTATATGAAGATACATTACTCTGCCTTCTTAGACTGATGTTATATGAAGATACATTACTCTGCCTTCTTAGACTGGTGTTATATGAAGATACATTACTCTGCCTTCTTAGACTGGTGTTATATGAAGACACATTACTCTGCCTTCTTAGACTGGTGTTATATGAAGACACATTACTCTGCCTTCTTAGACTGATGTTATATGAAGACACATTACTCTGCCTTCTTAGACTGGTGTTATATGAAGATACATTACTCTGCCTTCTTAGACTGGTGTTATATGAAGACACATTACTCTGCCTTCTTAGACTGGTGTTGTCAAGATACATTACTCTGCCTTCTTAGACTGGTGTTATATGAAGATACATTACTCTGCCTTCTTAGACTGGTGTTATATGAAGATACATTACTCTGCCTTCTTAGACTGGTGTTATATGAAGACACATTACTCTGCCTTCTTAGACTGGTGTTGTCAAGACACATTACTCTGCCTTCTTAGACTGATGTTATCAAGATACATTACTCTGCCTTAGACTGGTGTTATCAAGACACATTACTCTGCCTTCTTAGACTGATGTTATATGAAGATACATTACTCTGCCTTCTTAGACTGATGTTATATGAAGATACATTACTCTGCCTTCTTAGACTGATGTTATATGAAGATACATTACTCTGCCTTCTTAGACTGATGTTATATCAAGACACCGGCTCTGCCTTGTTAGACTGGTGTTATCCAGAGTCCAGACCAGTTTCTTTCCAATGGACGTGATTGAGCAAGGCGGTATCACCCGAAATTATTTAAACCTGCATCTGTCGGGCTAAAATTATATGCATCTAAATTAGCGTGCCACGATCTTCATATCACTCATCTATAGTTTCGGTACTTGATGTGGCTGACGATATGGTCATCTCTGACGTACAGAAATTAAGGTTATATCAGAGATATTTCACCGTACGCAGGCTTCCATGGTTTCCATTGCTGAAATGTTGTTTACATTTCGCAGACTTGTAGACTTATCCTGGATACTAAATTTTTCACTATCCATCCCACCACCACCACCACCGCATTTTTTTTACTACGTGACGTAATAATAGACGGGCCACGTGCTCTATCTTCAATTCTTAAAGTTCTGCATGGTACTGACCGCCAGCTTCGTTGCTTCTGAAAAGCATCGTCTCGATAGCTCAGAATTCTACGCAAATTATGTTCATGTAATTTAGGAAACGTACAAACAGCATTTTGTCGATTCTCTGGCAGAAATTACGTAGTAACTAGTACACTTCACGTTAATCGTCGTGTTTGGCTAATGCAAGCTCTGGATTTCATCTTGAACAGCAGACGAAACGTTTTCAGCAAACTTCTTTAGCGATCTTCTCGTTTAGATTCAATCCCTTTAGTCGAAACTCAGAAAAGGCCTAAGCTTAAAAAACTATTAAACTTTATCCTCGCGTTTGATCACAGTTCTCACATCTCAATTTCATATTTAGTAGACTTAATTAAGTGTGAAATGTTTTACAGAACAACCACGATTCATTTGCCAAATTAAAATACGAGAATCTACAATCTAAGTCCACAATCAAAAACTTCTGTATGTTGGAGGACGTCATTCATTTATGCTCTCCGCCATATCACAAAAAATTCAACAACTCTCCAACAAAATTCCTCACAAACTTGTGTACAAGTTCTTCAGCTGTTTGATTTAATTTTTGTATATTTCTTCCACGCAAAGCTCTGAAAGTACTCGACGCTTTTGTACGTAGGGACGAATTTTGAAACAGGGCGAATTTTGTACATACCCATAACTGACTTCGTTTATTTCACAAAATCTTTCTCTCTGTCTTTTTCCTGACTCAACCTTGCAGCTGGTTGCTTTCATGTATACAGAAGAATATTTACTCCATGCGGTTTTTACGTTTTTTTATGTTTCATTTCCTATTTTTGCTCATTATTTTATAAACACCAAAAAAAATAAAGTTTAAACAAGTCTTTTCATGACAATTATCAAGACTAATTATCACGAGTAAAAACTACTACTAAAATTTCTGCAATCTGATTGGCTACGCTACGTCTCTGTGCGATTTTTCATTTTTACAAGTTTTTTTTTTTAAAAAAAATACCTCTGGCTAATACATGGCTCTTGATTTCTATGATAAGATAGACCTCGCCCTCATTCGATAATAGGGATCTTAAGATACACCAAATCTACGACGCTGACGTGAAGTAATACTGTCTTCATTTCCACAGTTTCACAACAGGGGCCAGTTGTTCAAAAGCTGGTTAGTTTACCCTAGCTGGATTAATAGCAAATTTCATTTTTCTAATCGTTTGTTTGCTTGTTTACGAAGTTGAATATCTTTTTTTAAAAATATTTTCTGGACCGATGGAAGTAATATTTTCCAAAGTTTTAAAACGAACGGTCGTTCAGAAGCACATGAACTAAAACACTGGATTAAAATTTAACCCAGGGTTTGCGGCCCCAGACTTCTTTTATGGACTCCTTTTAGTGAACGAGGTCAGAGCTGTGTGTAAAACTAATTAAAGCTGAGTTCCTAACACTGATTAGCGGCTAATTTCATGTCACGTCCGGGTCGTAGATTTGCTGTATCTTAAGGTCCCTAATTACTCTACTTGTCAGGAGCCGCTTGTATCAAGCCCGTTTAACTTAAACGGTGGTTAAGTTCAAAATAGAAAGCAAGTCTATCGTTTTCAACAAGCGAACTAAATATCTTTACCTCAATACAAAGTTCCCCCTTTTTACAACTACATATTGAGTGCATAATATCCAAGTTGATTCATTCAAGAGAGACGTTAAGAGTGTTATTAAATTTTGACTTGTCTACACTCCTCAGTTTAAGCTAAACGAGCTTGATACAACCGGCCCCAGGTAGTCAAACAGTGGATTACTCCTAGGTTTTTGACTTGGAAACTATAAGATTCTCGTTATTACAGGTAATAACAGTGATGGTGCCCGTTTAGATCTTGATGACATTGAGAGAGGCCAAGGGTAAGTTTAGGCCTAGAAACTACATTGGATTAATATTACCGTGAACGTTATGCGACCTCGGCTTATATATCCTCTATTTATCTGGCAAAATAATTTGCTTTGGTGATTTTTGTTTCTTCAAATGCAAGTCGGAACCATTTTCTTCTTATCATACCTCGATTAAAACTGTTCATGCATTTGTTGTTAACCAGCAATATGGTGTGAGAAAACGTAACTTTTAAAATTTATATCCGTAACTATATTTCGAACAAATCTGTTTATTATGTTGACATACCTGAAATTCGACATCTTCATTGTCAGCGTGATGTATGGGTAGAGGTATTTCAACAGTCTGCTAGTATTGAGTTAAAGATTCAAAATATCAATCTTACATTTGCTGACGGTATTTTATCAATTTTTCACGCAGTCATGCCGCTCGTAGAACATCAGATCCAAGAGAACAATTTGTGGTATACGAAAACGTGAGTAGCTACATGAATACTTAGAGAAGAAAGCGCATGTATATCAACTATCTTTAGTCTAGTGAAGACAAGCAAATATGGTTTGGACAATTTGATACCGAGAATACAGCTATTATAACAATCCGGTAAAAATCGCAGCATCTATAGCAATATAATCCGATTTAAAGTAATGTTAGTATAACTAACAAGCTAAATACCATTTGTTGCGCGACAAAAGTGTTTATTAACAATTTAATACATATTTACATGAAAATAATAATTAGTTAATTCGGTCAGCCATTTTGCTTTTTCTTTGGTTTTACTATCCACCGTATATGAGCTGATATACGGTGAGTATAGCTCGACCGATCAAATTGCGGAATAGCTCATATACAGTGAGTAGCTATACTATAACAATTTATACATATTACAACAATGATCATTGACAAGCGCAAGTTTGGCACAACATCAGGCAAGTATTTTACAAACGTTTTAACGATATTTTTTTATCTAGAATCTTTATTCTTTGTTCACCGTTGCTTTACAGCGTCGCGTGTTTTTTCTTAGCTATTAGTGATCGAGTTTGAGATGTACAAAATCTACGAAGACTCTTTTTGATAAACTAAGTCAGAGCCGTATGTAAAACAAATTAATACTGGTTTCCTAACACACGTTTTTCATGTCACGTCCGCGTCGTAGATTTGGTGCATCTTAAACTCGCTATTTAATTGATGTGGACTGGCCATGACACCGCGGTGAAAGCTAGAACGGATGCGCAATTGTTAGAGTTTATGAACGCCATTTGACGTCAGTGACAGTGTGAAAGGATCTATTATTGTTCTTTTGTTCGATTAATGTTGCCTACTTGATGCGGTAGCTTACAGCCAGAAATGTCCCTCTTCAAAATTAAATGCTAGGAGAAGGATTACTGGGTAACTCCACTACTCCAGTATTGGAATAGCACATTCAGCTACATATACCGCACTGCGAACCAGTGAAATCTTGTGTTGTTGATATTATCATAGAGCTTTAGGTTGATTACGAGTGAGTAATGCCCCTTGGGATAGGATAGATCGCGGGATAAAGTTTTGGATTATCTGAAAACATGATGGAGAATCCCGTATTGTTGTTGCGAGTGAATCTTGTCGTCCCACTCAACTCGTAGTCAACTCTAAAGATCTCTATTTTCACAGGAGTGTGAGGTCCGCTTTGAACGAGTCCGCTTTGAACGACGCCGTGTGCCAATATTAAGCGTCGACGAATCGACAAGAACCCAACCGGAAGCTAATACTGTCCGACCGAGGTACCGACGTTGCCCAAGACCACCAAGCAACCCCAGAAAACCTAAAATAGTTCCCGCTAGATTTCCAACAAACCGACCTGTACCATCCAACGGAAACTCACAATCAATTGCCACAAGTCCAGTTAATCAAATTGTTACAAAGAACGGTGGTTTGGATTTTGGTGAAGCACCAAAACTCTGTAACCTAACCCATCGGTTGACAACACCATCACCCCCAGTAAACAAGAAGATTATGGAAGCCTTTTCCAACGATCCTGTTGAAGAAACTGGTGAAACCAATCCACTTGCCAAGTATTTTTCAACGCGAGGAAATACATCATCTACCTCAAAGGAAGCGGCTACTCCAACACCGTCACCCCCAGTAAACAAGAAGATCTTGGAAGCCTTTTCCAACGATCCTGTTGAAGAAACTGGTGAAACCAATCCACTTGCCAAGTATTTTTCAACGCGAGGAAATACATCATCTACCTCAAAGGAAGCGGCTACTCCAACACCGTCACCATCAGTAAACAAGAAGATCTTCGAAGCCTTTTCCAACGATCCTGTAGAAGCAACTGGTGAAACCAATCCACTTGCCAAGTATTTTTCAACGCGAGGAAATACATCATCTACCTTAAAGGAAGCGGATACTCCAACACCGTCACCATCAGTAAACAAGAAGATCTTGGAAGCCTTTTCCAACGATCCTGTTGAAGAAACTGGTGAAACCATTCCACTTGCCAAGTATTTTTCAACGCGAGGAAATACATCATCTACCTCAAAGGAAGCGGCTACTCCAACACCGTCACCATCAGTAAACAAGAAGATCTTGGAAGCCTTTTCCAACGATCCTGTTGAAGCAACTGGTGTAACCAATCCACTTGCCAAGTATTTTTCGACACCAGCTCCGGAAGTTAAAACAACTGTTAAGGTTGAGAAGTTTGTTGAAGTTAAAGCACCAACTTCAACCCTTCCACCAGACGAATACGTCGTTGAACAAGTTGTTGAAAACTTAGTTCAAGCAGTCGTTGAAGTTGGACCAACATCACCGACTTCGACACCTTCACCAGACGAAAACATCTTGAGGTCCGTTGCAAAAGATTTAGTTCAAGCAGCTATTGAGACCAGCAAAGAAGAGTTAATATCCGAGCAAATATCGCGTTTTGATTCATCTGCCTCTCAAGTTAAGAAGTTTGTAGAAGTTCAGGCGTTATTATTAAAAACGTCGACTTCGACCGTGCCACCAGACGAATACACCTTGAGGGCCGTTGCTAAAGACCTAGTTCAAGCAAATATTAAAGCAAGTCAGGTGGATTTATTCTCCGAAGTAACATTGTTAGACAGCTCCTCCTCAGATCAGCCTTGTAAGAATAAGATGTCAAACAATCAACACTCGTCGGCACACGAGTTCTTTGACAGCTTTGGTTCATCCGATTCCGGCACTGCACCCTTTCATCGTGTTGACCACAGTTTCTTTACGCCTAACAAGAATCAAACATCGTTCACGGCCTTGCCACCAACATCGAATGCAGCCGAGCAACGTTTCGTATCGCCAGCGACAAACGCTCAAAATTTTGAGCCAGCAAATCTGAGCGCGTATGCACATCCACGTCAAAATGTAGGAGACCACGCCATGTCGATGCAAGAACCATCATATGGGGCACAGGAGCGATATTCAACAGCTCAACTCTTTAGTGAAGCTGGTGCTTCAACTACTAAAGAAACACCTCATGCCAAACAGCTCTCGGATGCTGAGAACCATGCAACATTGACTCCACCATCTTACGGGTCAAATTTGCCAGAACAGTCTTCTGCCCATACTGGAAACGACCTGTTTAACGTGGCAAAATCATCTACTCCTGGTGGTGGAACGTCACAGTTGTTTTCCGGGCAGCACCAGAATGATCCTTTCAAAGGTTTTAGTTCTAGTCAGGAGGAGAGCCGAAGATTTCCTTCTTTTGTAGCAGGAGATGGAGTGCCTGGTTTTTCGATCAATACCGATGCACAACATTCCTTTCAGCATACAGAAGCATCAGAGAAAGAACCTAAAGTAGGGAAATGGCCTTTCGACCACAGTGAATCGGCAGCATCTCAAGTTGAACCACCTTCCAGTCGAGACCAAAACACCTACCATGCATCTTCAGCTCAAAACTTGCACGCACCGCCATCGAGTTCAACTTTTCCTGATTTCGACCAGAAAAATTATTCACTTGGGGACACAGCCACAGTATCTTCTGATTCAGCTATGGCATTCAGTGGTATTCCTAGACCCAATACCGTATTGGGTAACCAGAGTAAGACTTCTGGCGAAACATTACCAGGCCAAGACGTTGAAACTTACTATCCAATTGGAAAACAACCAGTTGAACTTGCCAGCAATTTATATACCACTGAACGCAACGCTTTTCCAGCTGTTCAATCTACAACTTCTGGCCTATATCCACCAGCAATGGTGAATGATGCTATTGACCAAGCCGCTGGTCCATCGTCGCAGAGTGTAACGCCGGCTTTCTACCCACCAGGTTTAACAACCAGCAAACCAGTAGGTCAAAGCGGCTCCTTGTACCCACCGGGAATGGATCTTGGGGAATCAAGCAAATTTCCACCGTCCAATATCAAGCGTGATGTAAACTCGGCACATTTGCCTCCGCCATCTTTAGAGATGATGAACACCACCAACAACAATGTTGGTGAACGTTTGTCTCCTGGCCACAACCTTTTCCCAGCCACTAAACCTGCCGCTCCAAGTCAAGGGTTCTTTATGGCAGACGGCCAAAAGTTCTTGGCACAGAATCAAATTCATCTATTTTCACATGCTGGTGCTTGGACGTCAACAGAGGACCTAGCTGAGAACCAATCTGCGGCACAGAATTCCATTCCAACATCTTCATCGTATGCACCAATGGCAGGCTATCCTGGAGAAACCCAGTCGGCACAGAGGAAACTTGCTTCATCCCTCACGTCTGACAATGCCGTTAATTCTGAAGCGTCTCAGCCTGGATTTTCTATAAACAACGAGGAAAATAATCAGGCTTTACGTTCAGACGTTGTACAACCTGATACACCGCAGTTGGGACCAAGCAGCATGGTACCTTTTACTAGTAAAGAACAACTGCCCAGTAACCATCAAACAGCATGGCAACCGGCTACTCAGCCATTTGATTCGCAGGCATCAAGCGACGATGTCAAGGCTGAACCAACTCAGTGGGACGCTATTGATCCTCACGGTACTCCACGGAATACCCAACAAGCATCAACATTGCAACAAACAAGTGGACCAGTAAATGTGGGTGAAAAGTCCAGCGGGATTTTTTATACTCACCCATCGTCAAACGATCAGTCAGCACAATTTGGTAACCATGGTGCTGGCACTATCGGTTCAGCTAATCTTGAATCAAGTTTAGCCAATTTGGACACCATTACCGCTCGTGACGATGAATCTCGTGATGGTAATTCACTATCAGGTCACCAGCAAGTTCCAGCATTTGGTCACGAGCGAGTGAATTCACTCAATACAAGTGATCCCAAACTTGATACACCTCCGGCTAACACAAGCACCATCATCTCCAATGATGACCTAACATCGGGCAACCAGCAAGCACTCTCCAGTCAACATTTGGGTGCTTCGGTTACCATGTTTCCTGTTGGTATGACACCACAGAACACCAATAAAGCATCTATTGCTTCGACCGAGACCAGAGGGAGTCAACAACTGGATACCGTCGACCCGAACCAGCATCCGTCGGCCTTTATGCCAGTGAAGCCAAACTCCCGAGCTCCCAAGACTACGAAGAAAGAGTTCGGCACTTAGAATCTCCGCTTCGTTCGCCAGTACAGCGCGAGAAAAAGGAAGCTTTAATTCAAAGTGCTAAAATTCATACTTCTCTCTGGGACAATGATCCTCAATTGGCCATACCTGGTCTTATTGTCCAAACAGGGAATCGTGGAAATCAGTTTGTTCCAGTTTCCAGCCATGACCAACTTAATCGCCATGGATTCGACAACAGTTCTCAAAGAGCTATGAATGTGCATGGCCAACCGCCAAGTTCCAGTGGTATTTCGATCGACCATAATGCCAAAATATCGCAGCAACCACATTCTATTGTCGCGCCATCAAATCTGGGTATTCCTGGCTTCACACAGAATCGTAATCGATTCAGTAGTACTCCATCAAAGTTGCCAAATCCACCTGTGGCCTCCAGCGCCGCTCAGCAAACCCTGTTAGCGGCTGCTTTGCAGAGAAGTGATTGTGACTCGACATTCAATCTTAGTCGCCAAAGTTCACTTGGTGTTTCAAGTTCAAATCAAGAACTCGCCAGTGCAAACCCTGTTCATGATGTGATCGAAAAGCCATCTAGTCTTAACCGAGGAAATATCCAACGGTGAGTATGGCTCTCTACCAAGAATAGCGATTTTTCACACCTCGATCGAAACCCGTTTTCAAATCCGCACACAAACTAAGCAACTATTTGTCTCACGATGGTCCAAAATCTCACACTACCAACCATAACCTAAAAATAACAATAATCTGAGATATCAGTAATCGTTCAGTAATTTTTTAGTTAAAGTAAAGAATATAGGAAGATTAATAAAATTCTAGGATGTATAGAGAGCAACAGAAGTGTCAGCAGGGTAGACGGAGGTTCTTACAAGACTTTGTGCACGGATTTCATAATTTTTAAATTGCTCAGCTATTTGTTGTCTTACAATAATTATTTGTTCTTCGGTATTAATTATTCATTCTTCGTAACCTGCGTTTATTAACCGTCATTTGAGACGTTGGAGTCAACGTGGACGACTCTTGGCTTAGGAGAAAGCATATTAAAATTAAGCGTTAATTAAGAGCTTAAAATTAAGAGTCTAGTTGTAGAATTAACGTATTACATTGTACAAATTTGCATTTTAAACTATCTTAAATATTAAATATAATACCGATATTAACTGGTACATAACGTAATAGTGTGACCTATTAATAAACGGCGTCAACGGATCAAAACCTATTCAGTAAAAAGTTTTCATGGTGTTTCTGGGGGCGAATTATTTATTTTGGTTTCAATTAACGGACTAGACTGTTGATACTTTTAATTTTTTTAGGCCAAATGTCATCCAAGCGCCTGTAGTAAACAACATTCCTTCCTCAAACCAGATTCCTGACCAGCACTTGCAACAGACTGCCCCTGCTTCTGGGACCATGACCGGTCTCCCCCAGAACTCCTTCACACATCCTGACGCCAGCCGCTCTGCAGTGCGTACCGGGTTGCCTCAGAGTGAGCATGCTCGGATGCGTGAAGGTAGTGGTGGGGGAATGGTCCCTGAGTATGGTGGCGCTGGTGGTCATGTTGACCATCCTGTTGCTACCAGTGATGGTTATGGTTCTGGCCAGATAGAAGGTATGGTTTCCTCGAGTGAACAGGAACAGCATCAGTTGTTATACCAACAGCAACAATTGCAGTACAAGCAACAACAGTACGAACAAATGCTGTTTCAAGATGAGTTCAGCTCGCAAAATCAGCAGCTGCGAGGAGGACACATGAATGTACAGCGACAAAGGTCTGAACCGAATCAGTTTTCTCGACAACATCATTTGCAACAGCAACAACAGTTGCAACAGCAACAACAGTTGCAACAGCAACAACAGTTGCAACAGCAACAACACTTGCAGCAGCAACAACAGTTGCAACAGCAGGCACAGGAGTACCAGCAGAATATTCAACATCAAAAAGTGGAAAGGTAAATGAGATATTTTAAAGTACTCTACAATAGACTGTATAAAGTTCTGAAAACCACCTTAGGCACCGAAAGCAGTAGTAAAGTATTACAATATTGTATACGTAGAAGCCAATGTTTCTAGCACTTAGACTACATGACTACTATGGCGAAGTGGCAAGCACATTCACGAGATCATGAAATTACTGGCTAAATTTGTTAAAACACAAAATTGAAGTAATTTTTCGCACATTATCCTTTCGTGTTCAACTAAACAAATCCATCATTTGTAGGCAAATTAGCGGGCAATACCCACAGCAAGTTAGCAGCAATGTTAATCTACAGTATTCAACCAACGATACTGATCAATGGCAGCAGCATGGCAACACTGCACAGTATGAAGATTTTGATTCAGAGGAGGAAAGCAATCGATATTATGATGAGAGCAGAAAGTGGTTTTGGTCTTTTAAAAGAGAACGGTGGATCCGTGCAGAGAAGTAAGTGCTGTTTTATGCGGAAGTGGTTTGAATTCAGACAACAGTATTTCTCATACAAACTATTTGTTTCAAGCAGCAGGCGAGAAAGCCAGTATGATGATCAACGATATCACAGATCTGACTCGAGAAGAAGTCGCAATCGTGAGCGAAGAAGAGAGAGCCAGGGTAGAATACGAACAGACTACAATGACAGAGCATATTATAATAAATATTATCGTGATTCTTATGATCGGGATTACCATCGTTGGGAGTCTGACTCTAGTGGGTCCAGTGGTGATAGTCAGCGGCGTGGTTCTCGTTCAGGACGATCATCTCGGGCCGAGTCTCCACGTTCAGTTTCAATCACGGTCGAGCTCGCGGGCTCGACGAAGTAACTACTGCCACTCGAAACGAGCGGTCTACGACTATGAAGATTCGTAAGTTCTTAACTTTCACTGCATTCGAGAACGATTTGATGCAAATTACAAGGCTCCATTCCAAAGTGGACATAGATAATGTCCTTACTGACCCAAAGCTTTTCATGGCTCATAGTTCTACATTTGTTTATGATTGAAAGAAAAGTAATAATACTTGCAACGTATTGCAATGAATGACAAAGTTGTTTACAATACTTTTCGTGCAGTCGTCGAGCTTTTTAAGTCAACCTTCTCAATATTTTCCATTCAGTAATCGCAGAGGCGAGGACTATTATGGTCGAAGTCACCAATCATCTCGTAGCTCAAGACGATTGAGCTCAGGAAGTTACAGCTCATCCACATCAAACTCTCTGGGAGACAGTATCAAGTGGGATGACCAGAACAAGCAACAACAGAGTAGTGCAATCACCGCTGAAGATACGGTTAAACGGGTAAGATTTAAGTAGAGTAGTAAACAGCGGTGGATGAAGCCTGGCGAGATATCAAAAATCCGAAGACCAAAGTTTCAAAATCATCAGAAACTTGTAGTTACCTTTATAGTACTGCACTGCATGGAATCGCTTCAATCGCTCGTTCGATAACTGTCACGAGGTCTGGTTGTTTATCCTTAGCTAAAATCGTAAATATATTTTCAACTGTTGTAGTAATTACTCCTGAACGACTAACCCCGAAGCAGCATACAAAACATCATATTGTTGGAGCGTTTTCAACCGCCTCTCGATTGAGTGTTGCTCCAGCCAGACAGGTCCTTGATGCTGAGACTGCTGAAGTGTACTTGACTGATGTCAAGGTAATCATATAGCTACGTCATATTAACTATTTCTTTACGTATAACTACAACGGGGACGACACTTTAATACTGTTCTAGGCTTCTCGCGGAAGACAAATTCCAGTTAGATGTATTGGTATAGGTCTGAATGTGAGAGATAGTCATAGTCGTTTGTATAATAACAGCGGAGACAGAAATTCTGTGATATAGAACTGATGCTAGCTTAGTCTAAGCCTTATTTGTATAGATTTCTAGTAACAGTATTACACTCAAGACCAATACTAGCGTATTATTCGACTTCCAGGGAGATCAGATAGATCAGAAACAGCAAGCGTTAGCTCTAATCAATCAGGTTGGTTATCCCTTGTCAATTGACAGGTTGCGACATACCTATAATATTCTACAGTATAAATTGACGCATATGATCTTGTTTTATTCAGAACGAAGGTAGATTCAACGAGGCGATGCGCAATTTCCCTGGACCACTTTGCAGGTAAAATGCCAAAATAATGGCTGGTTTAAGACCATTTCATTTCTGGAGCCAGGATATGATTGATCGGCACTAAGACTGTATTATCACTCAGCATTTGAAAAGCATACAAATTTTAACGACCAAAATTTTGAAAAACTTATAGTCAATGTTTTATTCTACTGTATTTTTCACAGGGGCAAAACCCATAAACGGGATGTTGTAAAGTATGCCAAAGAGATGGCCATGATGGCTTTCAACAACCAAAGCGATTCTTTTGAAAAACGCGAGGCTGGCTACATTCTTTGGCAAGTGTTGGCTTTTATGGTGCAACAAAATGGGGTAAGAACTACATTAAGTCTTTCGGCATGCATAAAAATTATAAAGATTGTGTGATTAGCTCGCTTTTAAACAGTCTGAAAGCACTGGATCAAAATAATTTCCCGAGTAATCTACATTTTAATATGGAGAGTTTTTAACTCTTTCTGTTGGCTTTTTCTTCATTGGTTGAACTGCGATCTTTATTCCAGGTGTACCTCAACACCGATATTGCCGAGGTTCTAACCTCGGACCTACCCGAAGATTCTTATACAAGACGGGAACGTAGTTCTTCCAGCTCTCAAAGGGTATCCTTTGCAGCTGATGGGCAAGATTATTCCAAACACGATCAAGTCGCGACATATCGAGAGCTTCTCTTGGCTGGCAAAACACAGGTACGCTGTTTACTAATCTTGCCATCGCTCTTCTCTTGCCTAACGAAAGCCCGCTCTCCTCCTGGCGAATTCGTTCGCACGAAGTGGTAAAAAGAAGAGAAGGATTAATCTTTACCATTACGTGCGCTTGTATTGAAAGAAGCATGTGTAGAAAAATACCTTTGAACATTGTTAACCTGTTAGACGTAGGAACTATTCCATGCAGAAGATCTAGAAAGCAATTCATTCTATCTACAGTTTCTTTACGGTTTTTTTAGAACGACACTGCACGTGCAAATAGTTTGGCCGTTATACGAGCTTAGAGTTATTCATGAATTCCGGCTATATATTTATACTCGCGGCGAAGTGAAGAACAATACAACTGTTTTATCATTTATTAATTTCCCTCCATAGGAAGCTCTGGAACACGCAGTAAACTCCAAGATCTGGGGCCACGCCTTGATGTTAGCATACCACACTGACCAGAATGTATTTTCGAATATCATGGAAAGGTAACGACATTTATTCTTTGCTTGCTATATTTGAATTATTCTACTTGTTGTTTACACGTTTGCAACTTTTTTACACGTTTCTCTCAATTGTGTTCTTGCTTGATCTCTCCTAACTGCTTGCAAATGTCTATTTTTCCATATTGTACATGTGTCAGTATATTTCCAATGCTTTTTCGCATTGTTTATTGTAGATTCAACAGTCAACTTAATGAGGACGATTCCTTGTTATGTCTGTATCAGCATCTCGGGTCTAAGCGACCTTCAATTTTAGATGTGAGTTTTAAGAATTCTCTTTTCTGGATTAACCCCTGCGAGGTCGTGGACCAATGTGGTTCACAAACCCGGTACAGTTCACGTGGAATATATAAAGCTATAGTCTTTTATACCCTATCTTTTTTTTGTCAAAATTTAGAAAAAGACAAGGCGATGGAGAAAACATTTGGCAATCATGATTTCAAATCCATCCAAATCAACCTTTAAAGATAGCGAAAATATTCAAGCACTTGGCGCGAGCTTAGGTAAGTTCAGTTTGGATAAGCCAGGGATGGTAATTTGGCCGGGGGGGGGGGGGTTGTGTTGACCAATATCACAATCTAAGCTACGTTGTAGTATGCGTGATCAAGTTGATGTATTTTCACATACGATGATAACTGCTTAAACAAGTCACGAGGACACTGGCAACGTTTCCTTCAAGAGATTCTTGTTTCGATTGACTTTTAGGTGAATGCACGCATGCAAGACCTACTGCTTGTGTTTGTTGCTATCATGCAAAATGTTACTTTCTCTTTTCCAGAGTCTCGTGGCCTGATTGAAGCAGCTCATCTTTGCTACATATTAGCAGGAGAAGAAATTAGTAAACAGAGTGGCACACTGTTACTAGGTTATTCTTCGAAGTATGTTGAAGAGTCGCATTGTCTGTCTGTTTAATGAACGTAAAGGTTCGTGGTTCATCTTCTCACAAACTTAAACTCTTGTTTTCTGTAGTGAAATCCGACCAGAATTCGTGGATTTCCTGGCTCTTCAACGCACAGAGGTAGATCGCAGAAATGCTTACAAATCCTTTATTGAAGCCGCTATACATCTGCCATGCAGCATGCTCTAGAATTCTTTCTTATGTTTTTTTTTCACTTTGCTACAAACCCTTATTCCGCCATTGCCTTTTTATTGCTTTATTTCCACTCTGCTTGCCAGTCGACCTAAACATTCATCCGTTTTTACCAGATACATGCATCTGTTATAAAACTGTTTAAAATAGTCAAAAGCCCGTATTGTGTTTGTATTTTTGTTAACCAACAACATGTTCCTGTAGATATATGAATACGCTATGAGCCTCAAAGATGAAAATTTTATAATAAAAGACTTCCAGGTTAGAAATTACTTCATTGTAGATTTCTCTAATGTGTGTTGAACTTTGCAAAGCACAGAAGTGCCGCATAAGTTGTTGAATTCAGCGTCTCACTTTACTTCGTATTTCAATACTTGCTTACGTTTCCGCAAATTGCGGGGATATCTATTCTATAGAATAAGATTTTTTGAGATCAGAAGATAATTTTATACTTGGTTGGTCATGGAGTTGAACCTTGGCTGCACATTCTTTAACGTTATGTTTTTTTTCAGCTATGGAAAGAATTGTACGTCCATTCATTAGCCGATGCCGGATTCCATAATAAAGTTAGTAATTGTTATATATTTGTTTGACTTATGGTGTTACTTCACAACCTTCACAATCTTTGATTTAACACGCATGCATTGTCTTATTTAGGCATTTCGTTATTGCGAGAAATTGGTAGATGATGTCTTGAAGCATTCAACATCCTTTACTAAAGATATGATAACGCGACTTCATGCGGTATGTCATCATTTCTCGCCTTACCTTTCGTTCCCGTTCTCAAGTAAAACTACGCATATTTATTTAAAATAGACGTTGACCTTTCTAACCTTCGCTCAAATCAAGAAATCAAAGCGAATAATGAAATTTTTAATAGCTTATTGTTTTCAGATACAACCTGATATACACATGGTGAAATCGTTTGATGCTCAAATTTTCTTTCCTTCAGTTATCCATGAGACTTTACAGACGAGAATTTATTGCGCCGTTATTAGATATGAACGGACGCCTGAAACAATTGTTAGATCTACTCAAGGTACGAAGGATATTTTTATTTTATATGATTTTTATGTCGATCCTAAAATCTGCAAGTGAAACTTTGCGATCAACAACTAGACAGCGTCGTTTCTGTGAGGACACGCCAACTGATGTTGTCCTGGAAGCATGCTTGCAGTTTTCCATGCGAAACGTTTCTAAGGCGTGTTAAAAATTGTCTTTTTAGGAAAACAACGAAACCTTATGGCACTCGTTCTTGTCTACCAGCAGCTGGCAAACATTGGCGCAACAACTACCTCAGCAATCGCAACTTCCACAGGAAATGCCGTATGAACACACGCAAAACATTGATATAAAGAAGTTCAAGTTCCACTACAATGGTACCTACAATGTTTGTTCCTCAAAATAGTGACATAGTCCAGGAACAAGTTTTATATCGCGAGGACAACAAAGCTTCTCAGAGTTTCGCTCAATTCGAGCCCACCGCTGCACCAAGTGGCAACATGTCCTACCGGGGAATTTCAAGCTCAAGCCAGTACCATCGCAAGGGAATTACCCCTACGGGGTTGCTCCCACCGACCAAACTCTTCCACCGGAGAATTACCCCTATGAAAATGTCGCACAAGCAGTTCCGAGCAGCATAGAGCACGATGAAACAGGATTACCAATTTCTGGCACAAACTTCTACGAAGGGGACTCTTTTGAGCATTTGTTACGGAAGCAGCCGAGTAATGCTAGTGTGAAACAAGTGGAATTTCAGCGCCTGCGACTTCAGATAATAGTTTTGATTACTACGCTCAATCTAACTTCAGGGTAAGTGTAATATACGTTTATTAAGAATTGACCCTTCGGTACCTAGATCGCCCAGAAATCCTGGTAACCTTATTTAGAATAGATTAAACTCAGTATTATTGAGAGATGTTTGCACCAACTTTGGATGAATAGGGCCTTTACTTGAACAATTTAGACCCGAGTAGGCATAGGATATTAATTATTTAACGAGAGTACGTTACTAATATTTAGTTTCTGTAAAATCGTTTTTAGGAATCAAATATTGCGAATGGCGCAAAGAAGGAAGAAACTCAAGCCCAGACCAAGGAAGAGAAAAAGACCAAAAAAGACGATAACAAGAAGTCAGAGAAACAGAGTGGCGTAAGTTTTCTACAGTTTCAAATTGCAGATTCCGAATCAACCCAGAATTGAGAAACATGCAGTAGTCGTATTGAGCTAGTTGTTGACCGTATAAGCGAAACATGTTCTGTGTTTTCCGAGGTCTTGTTTTATAGTTTGTGTTCGTAGGTATATGGTAGAAAACAGCTGTTTCAGCAAGTTTAATTGTTAGTTTATATTGTGTGTAAGGGGGCGGTTGTTTTAAACAATGTTTAAACCAACGAAATTTTGACTTCATTTTATTTAGGGATTATTTACGTCATTCGGCGCTTTCTTGAGATCTTTCATTCCCAAAGGCAAGAACGAGATTATCTTATTCGGGGCAGATTATACCCAAGAGCAAAATAAAAAAGCAAAAAAAAAGAAAACGCAGTAAAATGAAAAACAGTATAAATACAGTATTAAATTTATGTAAATTTATGAGGAATTGTTGAGCAATGAGTGATTGTTCATTTGAATGACAGTGCTATTTATCAGTATAATTATATATGTGTAATAATGTGTGTCCTCAAGGCACGCAATAAAATATGGAATAAACTACACTCTTCTACAAGCATTATTTTATCGTGTGATTGTTTTTATCGCTGAATGACGATGCAGATAAATCATATTATATGCATGCGCCGGTGGATGAACTTTAAGGTGGCTCGATACAATTTTCAAAAAATTCCATTGTTCATCACTTTGACACTTTCAAACAACGCATTTTTATGATTTATTCCAGATATATTAGGGGTTTTATATATTTTAATTTTTCTACTTTTGAATCGTATTAGTTTTAGTAACAAATCGTAAGTCACTATGGCGACACACGTGTACAAAATTCACTCCAAAATGACCAATTGTCTCGGATAGTTGGAAAAGAAGCACGGTGACCCCAATTCTTTTTCGTGCATTATTTTACTCGGAAGAAAAACTAACAATTAGCAAAATATAAAAAAATTCTATGATGGAAAAAAAATTATCAAAAAAAATATCATTTTTACATTTTTCAAAAATGTGGCATCATAGAATTTTTTTATATTTTGCCAATTGTTAGTTTTTCTTCCAAGTAAAATGATGGACGAAAAAAAAATTGGGGGTCACCGTGCTTCTTTTCAAATTATCCGAGGCAATTGGTCATTTTGGAGTGAATTTTGTACACGTATGTCGCCATAGCAACGGACGATCTGTTACTAAAACTAATACTATTCAAAAGTAGAGACATCAAAATATATAAAAACCTGAATATCTCTGGAATAAATCACAAAAATGCGTTGTTGGAACGTGTCAAAGTGATGAACGTCATAGACTATGTAAAATGTAGACGTTCCAAGTTTTGCAAACGCTTTGCGCGGCTACGCCTCCCCCTGTTGCTCGAATCATTAATTAACGACTAATCCATGAAAACTATGACAATATGTACATGTTTTTTATATAACATCTGAAAACGTAAAGGAAACATAATGAATTGCAGATCGCGTAGAAACTAGAAAGTACTAATGTTTCATGAATAACGAACAGGAATAAAGTAATACACATTTATTAATTATTAAAACCGTGCGTCTCCATATTTTATACAGTGTTTAGGTATTTACTGTTGTTGCTATAAACAATACTAACAATACGTGGGCTCGCGTGTACCGGAGGGTGAGTCCGGCACTTATATAGCGCCCTGGCACAGGCCCTGGGCTCAACAAGAACTAGCGCTGCCAGTCACGTGACTTTAGTTTTGGCGGGAATTTGTATATCCTTTTCCCAAGAATTTGAGAACGATTCAAGGTATGCAAATTTATTTGTATTTTTTCAATTGTTTTTAATACAACTTTGTTTCGCTTTTTCTTTTCAAGTACTTCTTTCAGTATATTATACCTTAATTTTATACATTCTGTTTAATTAGGATGGTTTTAGTGTTATATTCGGAACAAAATCATTTTGTAAACAAAGGATCTTTTAATTTATAAACGTTATTATAGATAAAAATTTGTTGTTTCGTATTTAAAAATCTTGTCAAATGCTTTATATGCCTTACTCAGAGCGAATTCAAACACTGTAAAATTAAAATATGCTTTCTCCAGGCAATAAACTCATTTTATGACAAGTACTGAGTTTATATCTGAAGCTAGGAATTTTCAATTTTTAGCTAGGTCGCATGTCCTGAAGCAAAAGTTTTCTTTGGTTGTTATAACTGGCAGAATTTGGCCAGTATTGTAGTACTTACAGGGTATAGTACTATAGCACTTTATATATAACCTGAATTATTCATTATATGGCAGCCAATTTAATGTGCATGTAATTATTATAAACCTGCATGGCCTTGTAATTATTGTATTCTCTTGTGGTGTTTATTACCGGTCTCTTTCTAAATATGTACAACCAGTTGTACTACAAATATTTTACCTTGAAAAATTTGTTTAGAATGCATGTACTTATCTTGAGCCAGCCAGATCCTGGATACATTATAATCTTGATTGCATACCTGGATATACCTGGAGCCAGTATAAGAATAATTTAATTTTACTGACAAACTTCTGCCATGAGTACTGTACATATGTTTCATCCCAAATCCCAAAAGAGTATACATTTATAAAAATTCTATGAATCTTGCATGTAATTTCCAGTGATATGCAATGAGTTGTGATTCAATCCCAGGTGCCTTAGAGAATTCCTTGTACATTTGTAACCCTAGCAACAAAAGGAATTTTGTTTTAGACTATAATCAGCAAATTGTTTTATTACCTATAGTAATGATTTACCAGTAAATCAGCTAGGACATACCAGTAAATCTTTGAACAAGTGACTTAGCTGAAAAGTATATGAGGTCCCACTTTAGGATAATATACATTTATGCAGGGGCTAGGAAAGATTGTTAAGGGGAGGGGGCATATATTCATGTTAACAGACATACTATAAAACCCTTCAATCAATTAAATTAAAAAGAAACTAATATATACTGCTGGGGCGGGTTGTATAAACCCTTCAACACTACACTTTGCATAGTTAAATCCTATAGTCAACTCAGAAATACATAACTCTGATTGGACAATTCTGTCCTTAACTACAGTTAAAAATTAACTAGTCTTTTATACAATTAACATGCCCCCTGAAAAATTAATATATGAATATTTGCCCCCCCCCCACTTACTGTAATGATCTTCTGCGGCCCCAACATTTATGGATAAACTGAAAAATGTACTTGTATTTTGCATATATGGTGAGTTCACAAAATTTTACTTAATTATTACTCAATTCCTGGAACACTAAATGTATTAATTATAAAACCCTTCAATCAATTAAATTAAAAAGAAACTAATATATACTGCTGGGGCGGGTTGTATAAACCCTTCAACACTACACTTTGCATAGTTAAATCCTATAGTCAACTCAGAAATACATAACTCTGATTGGACAATTCTGTCCTTAACTACAGTTAAAAATTAACTAGTCTTTTATACAATTAACATGCCCCCTGAAAAATTAATATTATGTTGCCCCCCCCCCCACTTACTGTAATGATCTTCTGCGGCCCCAACATTTATGGATAAACTGAAAAATGTACTTGTATTTTGCATATATGGTGAGTTCACAAAATTTTACTTAATTATTACTCAATTCCTGGAACACTAAATGTATTAATTATACATGCAGAGCTAGATTTTTTATCTTTAACCAAGGCCTTTTGCCCGGATTAAGTTGCCTTAATTTTTTTCTTCAATTTATATTCAAACTGAATTAACTGATGCCTCATCTAGACATGCATGATCATGATAAACGCATAGGGATAAGAGTAATTTTAATTTTTAATTTATTCTGCACCAAATACATCCCTATATAACCAGCTGCATGTGCTGAAGCAAAGCCTTTATTGCTGGACACTGTGAATACTGTATGTGCAAATAATTTAGATCCACTGATTTGACAATTAACTAAGCAGTTAAAAGGAATTCTTAACAGGTAAAATTCTCAAACACTCCGTTAAAATGTTCTGTTAATTAACAAGTTTTGTATGACCATATTTTGCCCATATAATATTTTATGAAAAATGTGACAATGTGGGCTACAACACTGTCTACTGATATTCCGTCACAGTGCTGTTACAGACACATGATATACAAATATCAGGGTCCGGTTGTTCGTAAGGTGTGGAGCTTAAACAGTGTATGAATAAGCCAATTAATGTTTACAAACTCATATGTACATCTTGTGAAAGACTGAACAGGCGTCGAAAGAACTTTTGATTAGGGGGAGAGGTAGGGGCTGCGTCTATTCGGAAAAAAAGGTCATGGTGAATCCTGCGCAGCACATATATGCTACAGTTTGGTGACTGGTCACTTTCAGTGACACAAACTAGCACGGTAAAAGAGTCTATGGCATGGGCCACCCCCGGTTTCAATGGGCAGGCTGAACCTGCATCTTTTCATTCTTTTGCGCTAAATAATATGTACTTTCATTGAAAATTAAACTATTTACTTTGAAATATTTCAGCTAGCTCAGTTCAAATAATGGATGTCAATTTTGTTTTTCATTTTGAACCTATCCGCCGTTCCAGTTCGACGCCCTTCGGACAAATGGCCCTGCATGTACATCACTATTAATCAGTATTATCCTTCAGGTCATTGCTCCGAGGCGTACTGGTTTTTAGCGACTCCTATATACTTTATAGTTTTACAGATAAATATTTCGTTCAGGTTTTGAGTTTCTATGGTTGATCATGACGAAAGAATGGAAGCTGATACAGCTGCATTGGATGATTTAAAATTATTGATTGAGAGTATTAAATACCGACACGAAGATTTAGAATTTCAGGAGCAAGCTCTGAAGACCATGGCATCTATACTTCGGACCAGTGGTAAGATTGCTACACTTTGCAGTGTATTTTTTAGTTGTCTTTATATTAATTTAGACGTGCAATAGCCAGATATTCTTGAAAGATTTACAAGAAAGCATACGTGGTATTTTTTTAATTATCATGTAGAAATATAGATAGTAGGTCTATTTCTCAGAATTTCTTGATTGTTATATGGCGTTCTATACTTCTATTTGGTCTGGATCGAGCCATTTTTGTTTGACTCATAGCACTTCTGTGCATGAGAAGTGCGATCGACGCTTGACCTGTAGGCCTAATGCTCCACCGTCCAGGTTTTTACACTCCTACTTACGTTGTTATTTTTGAAGTTCAAATTATTATTTACAAATTTCCTTTAGCAAGACCTCCGGCCGAGGGTCAACAAAGCGCACTGCTGTGATATATTTGTTGTTATATCTAGTGTCAAAATGAAAATAAACCAAAGAAGATTCCTAGACCTGTATAGATTAGAATATGAAACAATATAAAGTTAACTTCAAAAACTTTCCTAGCAACAGGCATGAAATTTCATAATTTGCCCTAGGGAAAATTATGAAATTTGATGCCCGATCGTGTTGATCACGCGTAATCATGGCGAAGATTTAAAGCCCTCCACGCGTGGATCATCTGAGGAAAACAGAAAAAATGAATTGTGACACTAGGTATATAACAATAGAATGTAATGGCTATAGTTTGCTGGTTTGGTTCTTTCTAGACAATACATCGAGCTTCTTGGTTCATACGAATGGTTTAGAACACATCTTAAAGATACTGATATCCCCTGACGACCAACCAAACTCGCTTAGAGAGGCTTCTCTACATGCATTGTGCGCGGCTTGTGAAAATAATGGTAATAACATATGCTCTCCATGTTAAACGTGCAAATGTTTTGAGACTAAGGACATTATTATGTAGTTCTTCCATGTACCGTATTAGCTTAGGCCTATAATATTATAATAATCTGATAATGCCTATATGGTTTTCCTAGGATTATTGATGGTCTGGTAATGATAAATATAAAAGATAATATTAGTGTCAGGGGAGGCTTTAGTTAGGGATTGTTAAGATCAACTTTGTTAATAGATTCAGATTTTAATATGAAAATTGACCCAGGGAACTATTCGAATCGCTCTCTTTTCTCTAAAGGGTTAGGTAAAAGAGCTTACGGGGTTAAAATAATTATGAAAGCAATGAATTACCTAAATTCTTTCATAAATTATTGTGTATAAATCAGGTGAATTAATATTGTGATGGTGCTGCTCTGAGTTACAAACAGGTCAAGCTGAAAATTACTTTGATTGTCGAGGTTTTCATTCAGGAATATTCACGTTTCATCTCTGTTCTTGTAATTTCATCTAGCGTCCGACAAGTATTGTGCACCCAAAAGATCTTTTGTGTACTGAAGAAATTTTTGTTGATGAAATCGTCGATAAGATTGCAAACTATCTCTAGTTACTTACTGATTTGTCTAATTAAAAACAACTGTAGGCCTAAGTAGAATGTTGATGGTGATTTATGGCAACACGAAGTAGGATCAAATGCGGTAGAATTTTCATGAGTCGTATACCAATACTTCTTCAATTCCTTTTTTCTATTCCAGAGAAAGGGCAGAATCTGGCGAGGCAGACAAAATGCGTTGAAACATTACGCTACCTTTTCAAGTAAGTTTTATTCCCATATAGCTATACTCTGTAGAAACAGATTGTTAACAAAACCCTTAGCAAATTAGTGATTCATGCAGCGAACTAGAGAACATGCATGCAGAAACCCCGCGCCTCGGTAAAATTATAACATGATAGAAAGTAGTCATAGCAACTAGCAACAGCCGTATATTTTCCAGTGAATTCTAATACAAGTGGAACGATAACTCAGGGAGGGCGGAGGAGGTTCAACCCGACTTTGTGCTCAGTTTGCAAGTAGACCCACTCTTTTCTAAATATTTTTGTGAAAAATAAACATTTTTAAATCGATGAAGTTTTCATAATATTAAATCTTGCATTAGCTTCGTAAAATAGACGTAAACTCGAAGTATCACGAGTGAATTTCCCAAATATGTAATCAGATTTTAAAAAAATGCTGCCGTTACGAAATGATGTTGAAGCAAACACGAAAATGACAAAAATTCCGCGCGTTTTTTCTAAATTTTTGTTGAAAGTTTGAGATACATCTAGATCTTCATACTAGCAAAATAGTGTACATAGATTGTTCTTAAATACACTTACTCTCTTAGTTTGGGAAAAATTGGGCCCTTGTGGAGAGAGAAAAACGAGGTTTAAAAACAAGAGCATCTTATCACCGAGACACAACGAGATCCAGGTTGTATATAAAGCAAATATGGACGGTAAATTAGTTCAAGCGATCAACTATGAAGCAAGATGATTTTAGAAGAAAGCAATCACTTCATATCTTCGTTGATAAATCTTCTCGATCACCTGTTTTTCCGAATCATGATCAAGGCATGAATGAATTGGATGATGATCATAGAGTTAAGTTGGACAAACATACGGCTGACAAGTATTTCATACTTTCATATACGGGAAGTGACATTGCGAGACAGTCCTACGAGAAGGAAAACCAAGTGATAGACGCCAGTTGACGTACTTTAAAGATCAGTAACCTCGGAGATTATATATTCACTGGATTCATGTCTTTTTGATCAATTCTATTTGGTGATAAATCTGCGCATCGGTTCTGCTCATAACAAAGGAGGGCCCTCTCTACAATAATTTGGCCTAAATTTTGCACGTTCACAAGTTTTTCTGCACATGCGCTTTAATATACGTTCATTTAAAAGCGCAGCGAACCTAAAACAGAATTAGCTACATATAACAAAGCGTACGTATTTTAAAACAGTATAGATATTCAAAATGTTAACAAACCGTTTGTTCACGGACTTGACTTCCACTTAAGTATTTCAAGAACAATTGACTGTGATTTTTTCCAGGGATGTTCGTTCTCCATCGCATTTTCCACGCCTTCCGAATAGACTAGCGGAATACCTTTCATCAAATTGCCAAGAAAATGAATCTCTGATGAACCTCTGGCAAACAGCGACACATGCCTTGTCTGTTTGTGTTTATAACCCACAAAACAGTATGCATTTAATTTCTATCGTTTTTGTTTTGCTGCGATCTTTTGTGCAATTTTCTTATTTTTATATATACTGCAGGTGAATGAGCGTATAATTTACGCAAGTGCAAACAGGGAGACATATATAACTACCTCTTGTCACGAAGAGAAATTTTAAAGTTTTATTCGATGAGGAAATCTTTTGATGTGGAAAATACTTCCAATTATCATCGAATGGCTGCAGTTTTAATCATTTTATAACACAGTTTTTTTTTAATTGAAGATGACAACCAATTTCTATGTTCGTCAGCGTTTCCTGCTGCTGTGGCTTATCTAAGGAATTCCGATTATCCACGTATACAAACCAGTACTCTCACATTTCTAACAAATTGTTTAGTAAATAATAGTAAGTATAAAAATTCAAAATTCCTGTAGTCTGAAATATCAATTGCACTTGTGAAGTCGTTGTACTTTTTTGTCTAATTATTCCCAATGCTCGCCATTTTTTAAATAAATCCCCCCCCCCTTTCTTCTCAAGTTGGCCTCATATAAAGTCATAATTTAAACCAATTCAGTGTTGCCTTGAAACACGCTTTCAATTTTCGTCTGGTAGGAGGTATAAGGGTATTATATGATATATTTCGAGAAGACCTGCTTGCTGGTGGCCAAATACCTTCCACTGTTCTTCAGGTCTTGATATTGACAATAGATGCAGCTGTGCGCGACAATGGTACGCTGAAATTTATTTCATGAATATACCAATATACTCGTCATATACTGCGTTGACGTAACAGTAGCTGTCAATTACTTCATTTCCATAATTTTTTTATCAGACTGATCAGGGGCCTAACTAGAACAACAATTGTGTGTGTGGGGGGGTGAATATTCATATATTGGGGAGTTTTTTGGCGGCGACTGCGGGTACGAGATTCGTCATTCTCGCGCTTTGTTTGCTTACGTCATCAGCCAAAACTCGTAGTCTTCGGGTTTTTGAGTACGAGTTTGTTGGCAAATTTCGTACTCGAAACTCAAAGCACAACGACTACAAGTTTGTGCTGATGGCGTGAGCATGCAAACAACGGGTGAGAGTGGCGAATCTCGTACTTGTACTCGTAATCACTACTATGCTTCATAACGAGTTAAGATACGCCAAATTTGCGACGCGGACATGACATGAAATTGCTACTAGTGTTAAGAAAACACTAAACGCTGTATTCATTTGTTTCAAATACGGCTCTCATTTTTTTTATCAAAACGAGTTATGCCAGACGGATTTTTATTGTAAACTATTGCACTTACAAAAGAAATCCTTTGGGCAGATCCGAGATGCGAAACAGTAGACTATCTAACGGAACCAATATTGTAGAATGCCCCTTTCGGATACTGTTGGTACTGGATTTTTTCGGCAAGAGTACAACAATTGCTGCTTAAGAGAAGGTGCAATATATTATTTTTTATATCTTGATAGACAAGTGTCGCGACAGTATAGCGGAAATGGAAATTGTTCCCCTCCTTTTGCAATCACTTCAGCTTTGTTTTGCATCTCCCAAGTTTAAAATACAGTGTTTGATAACACTCTCTGCTTGTATTGAGGGATGTGGTAAGTGGATGTGGGTTTTAGAGTGGAAGTCTTGCGCATCCAAGAACCAAGACCCAGTGTCCAGATTAGTGCACCAGCATCGATCAAGCACGTGATCAAAGAATGTTCGTTTTGATATAGCTGCATAAGCTTTCCACTGCTATAAGTCCACCGGCTAAGTTGTATATGTAGGTATATAAAAATCCCGACAGCTAAAACCAAATTTTCCATCAGCTAAAACCCCTAGGAAATTTTGTACTGTAAACAGTGTGTCATTATGGTGCCGAAATAAACTGAGCATGAAAAAAAAGCAGCGCCTTAAGATTACTCTTTAATAAGTGTAAAACCAAGTGTACGCTAGAAAACGTTTTTTGTTCAAAATGTGGGAGCGTTTCTTTCCAGACTCAAGTTGCAAACAGTTTTTAACAAATGAAGGGATGCCTACGGTAGTGAAGGTGTTAGCCGAAAATCAGGTAGGTTACGTGTAGGACTGTTGCCGAATGTCGATTGTCACCTTGGACACTTTATTAACTTTGTTGACGATGTTGTATTTGAGTCTCTTCGAGTTTTATAGAATTGCAAGGAGTTACAAAAGTCCGCTTTATGTGTTTTGCAAACGTACTTAGAGCAAACCAGTAAGTCTTTTAAACGACACCTGTTTTCTGATAATAAAAATTTTCAATCACATCAGTTTTAAAGGAATTGTGCTTAGGAAGGATTTGGTGCATTATTAAATATCTCATTCATTTCTTCAGAAATAACGATTCCGGAGTGTATGGATGACGTCTTAAAAAAAATACAGATAGCGCCAGATAACTTACTTCAAGTGGAAAGTAAGCTGTCGTATTTAATCGCCTGTGACAATGTAGGAAAAACTGTTATTAAGGTGCCAGTACGAATACCGAAGTGGTAAATGGGTATAATAGTTGTTGGCCAGGGCACATTTCATGCAATATTTTTTTCCTGCTAGATGGAAAACAGAATATAGAAGGTGAAGGTGAAGTAGATGTTACAAATGTGGAGGATGGGAGTAGTAATGGTAGTGAAAGTAATGTAGAAAACCGAGACATAATGCCATCTGGACAAACTGATATGATAGTTAACCGGATTCAAGATTTAACGAATGAAGTCCGTTCTTTAAAAGAACTCTGTGCATTTACAGTGGTGAGAGCAGTATTGCAATTAACTTGAAAATACTTTTTTAGGTTAATTTAGCATTGTTTCTATAGCTTAGTAATACACGATAAGTGTGCTTTTAACTGTAGCTAGACATGAGATAATTGAAGGTTTTTAGTTTCATATTATCCTTGTAGGAACAAAAGTCAGTCAGTGACAATCGAATTGATCGTTTAATGGCTATGATGAACACTACAACGCGTTCTGGCGTGATTTTTTCGAATAAAGACGTTGACAGCAATAAAGTAGATACTTCAGTTAGCGAGACTGGTGTCACATGTGATGAGATGAAAGAGAAATTAGATTCCACAGATAGTAATTCAATAGAGGACAATCCTTGCAATCAGATTGTGGGTGAAGATATGCAGGGCGAAAAAATTCAGAATGGTGATGATGTTGTAGGAATGTCAGAACAAATCGAAGCCTCCAAGACCAGTGAATCACCTTTCCCTCACCCGATTGGAAATTCGATCAAAGCAGGTCCTGTAACTGATTCGAATGAGCAAATACCCATTCACTCAAATACGTTTGATTGTACAATTGACCATAATCAGGATTATCCAAAAGTGGAGGATTTGAAAACTAACCCTGACCCAAATTCCGAAATTATACCCAGTCAAAAGGGATTGGATGTAGATACAATTAGATCTTCATCTGACGTCTGTTCTGAAACCTGTAATGGTGATAGCAATTGCGATAAAGTTGCAAACATTCGTTGTGGTAAAACTCCTAAAAATCAGAAGACAGGTGAGTCATCAACATCTCTCCAAGAACGATGTTATGTTCTTTTGTGTTCTGGAAATATATTTATTTTTCGTGCGCCCATCACGCGTACAAAATTAAATTAGTGTAGCTACTTAATAAAATCATTCAAACATCAGAATCTACGTTTAAATCTTTCTCGGATTTTTCACATAAAAAAAATTTTATGGAAAAACATAACCCTATGATTTCCCTGCTTTGCTCTTACCTAATAAGGAAAAAAAGGCCAATTAACTCTCTAGTAAATCTAGCATAAAAACTGCCAAATCATTTTTTCTCTCAATCCATCGAATGTAAACAACGCTGTCCATTATTGTTTCAAATACAGAAATGATCAACAGCAGAGCTAGCAAGAGGCCGTTCATAACAACGGCCAACGAGAAAAGAAACAACGGAAAAAGTTCAAAACGACGGCTTCGACTGTCAGAATCTGATCATGAAGATTCTCCTTTCACTGGTCAAGAAATTCTCTCTGAATCTCCAGTTGATAAGTCTGTCGATTTTGATATACCAGTACATGACATGATATTGAAGGCACCTTTCCCACCCAAGAAAAAAAGAAAGGAGCCTTTGTTGTTTGAACACAACAAAAAAGGGGTAAATTTAATGAATTAATACGATCTCTTCTCCTTAACGGTATTAATAAATGCCACTTTCTTGTTGCAATTATTCTTTTAGATGTTTTTATTGGCCTTAAGGCTATTAAAAACCCTGTAATTATATAGACCCAGTGATACCATTATAGATCAAAAAAGAAGCTAACTATTGAAGTATGCCACCCGCGTGAAATTGATTTTGTTCTTGTCCCCTGGGCCCTGATGATAAGTTTGAAAATGTTTGCGCGATACCTAAAGACGTCCTACTTTAAAAGGAATGCTTGAGAAAACACTCTAAAAGTTCTGCTGCATAATATTTTAGCAATTCTAAAATTGAGTTAAATACGAATTTGTGTGAAAATCACCGTTAAGGGATAATTTCTAGGCGTTAATAATCTTATTGTTAATTATTTTTATTCCACAGATTCCCTGATTTTGATACATTCACACCTTTTAAGTTCCATTTCCATTTTTTCGCATGATCAGTACATTTCCGTTTTTATTATTTTGGTTTCTGCAGAATTGAAGTAAAAAAGGTTATTTTTATTTAAGATCTGCCGTAAATGTCTGGGATGTCGTGTGGACTTCGCTAAAGTAAACAGCCGTAATTATCTAGGTAGTATACGACGTAGCATCAACACGTGTACTGAACATCGTTTGTTTGTTATGGAAGTGGTATCTGCTCTTCAAAGATACAAAAAATTTAAAGAAACAAAAAAACGGTCACCAGATTTCGACTTCGTGTCGTCTCCAAAGGTTAACGTGCGCTGTGAAGGCTTCCCCAGAGAGGTAGGATATGACGCAGCTATTCGTTAGACATGTGAGTAGGAAGCATACGTTTGAGTGCACTACTGTATGGTTGTTTAGGTATTTTTGCGCAGTGCCAGATCTAGGGTTAGGCAGAATGAATTCAAATTAATTTTTATTTCAAAATGCTTAATTGCAACTTTATAGGTTGTATTTTGGAAAAAATTGTATTTGGTATTCGAGTTTGAAATCAATGGCAGATATATTTTTTAGATAGCAAAGAGTGTAAAACCCCATGATCAGAAGAACAGTTCAAGGCCCACCAAAAAACCTTTTACTGCACGCGAAATTGAAATTCTCAAAGAAGGTTGGTAGTCGTTGCAATGTTTACGCTGATGAACAGACAGTGGGAAACAGTCCTTAGCGCTGCTTCTTTCAATTTATTGGCCTAGCTTTTTCAAATAATTTATGTCCATCGCTTTATATATATATATATATATATATATATATATATATATATATATATATATATATATATATATATATTTATATTTATATTTAATCTTAAAATATTTTCATCGCCACACTGTGTTTCACGCTTAAAAGCGATCTTCAGGCGAATGGATACTATGATTTTATAACTAACGGTTTGCTGACGCGTTGAGATGACTTGCGCGTGCGTTTGCGATTTTGAATTTTTGCGCGCTGAATTTATTGCGGTGTCTACACTTCGCAAACAATTCCGATCGTTTATTCAAAGTTTCTCCTCCAAACACAGATTACATCTTTTTCCACCAGCTCTACACGCCGGGACTTGCTTTAAAAGGGACCACTTGATAGAGAATTGTCTCTCGCTTTCTTTCAATATCCAAACATACTTCGAAAGTTCCGTTTCTGTCGAGTAGCGCGCGTTGTTGAATGACTTTTTGTGGTTAGAGAAACGGTTCTTGAAGCTTCCTGCTGTCATTCCAACATATTCTTTCGTATCGCCGTCGTCGGTTGGCGTAATTTCAGCTTTGTAAACCACGCTCTCTGACAAGCATTTTCCTGATAATGGACATTCTTCTTTGACTCGACAGTTGCAGTTTCTTTCGCTGGATGGTTCGTTTCGTGTTTGTAACACACGGTGGTTGTGGTTTGAGATTGAGGTTTTTACGTTGTTCATGCAGGAGTAGCTGACCTTTACCGTATTACGATTAAAGATTTTGTGGAGACGCGACGTCTTAGGAAAGTGCTTGTCAATCAATCGCAGAAAATTGTGGGCCACGTTCGTCTTCACGTTGATGAACAATGGGCAGCTTTGATGGCGCAGAAATATGTGAACTTGTCGGACTGTATGTGCTGAATAAGCTTTCTAAAAGATTTGGCAAAGATAACATCGGATTATATCGAGACGACGGTTTACTGCTGTTAGAAGGCACCGCAGGAAGATCAGCAGATCTGGCAAGGAAAATGCTACACAGCATTTTCAATGACTTGGATTTAAGAATCACAGCTGAAGTAAACAACCACATCGTCAACTTCCTCGATGTCACCTTCAATTTGCAAGAAGAGAGCTATCACCCATACAGAAAGCCAAACAACGACCCTCTTTACATTGACAGCCGCTCCAACCATCCTCCCTCCATCATTAAACAACTTCCGAAATCAGTAAACAAACGAATATCAAGTTTATCATCCGATGAGTCAAGCTTCAACTCAGCCGCGCAATTCTACGAGAATGCTCTCAACTGCAGTAATTATAAAGCCAAACTACATTACGCAATCAATAACGCCAAACCCGACCGTTCATCTACCAATAACCGTAAGAGAAAGATCATCTGGTTCAATCCCCCCTTCAGCAAGAACGTGAGGACGAACGTGGCACACAATTTTCTGCGATTGATTGACAAGCACTTTCCTAAGACGTCGCGTCTCCACAAAATCTTTAATCGTAATACGGTAAAGGTCAGCTACTCCTGCATGAACAACGTAAAAACCTCAATCTCAAACCACAACCACCGTGTGTTACAAACACGAAACGAACCATCCAGCGAAAGAAACTGCAACTGTCGAGTCAAAAAAGAATGTCCATTATCAGGAAAATGCTTGTCAGAGAGCGTGGTTTACAAAGCTGAAATTACGCCAACCGACGACGGCGATACGAAAGAATATGTTGGAATGACAGCAGGAAGCTTCAAGAACCGTTTCTCTAACCAAAAAAAGTCATTCAACAACGCGCGCTACTCGACAGAAACGGAACTTTCGAAGTATGTTTGGATATTGAAAGAAAGCGAGAGACAATTCTCTATCAAGTGGTCCCTTTTAAAGCAAATCCCGGCGTGTAGAGCTGGTGGAAAAAGATGTAATCTGTGTTTGGAGGAGAAACTTCATATTCTTGAATTGAGCAAAGACAGAGCGTTGAATAAACGATCGGAATTGTTTGCGAAGTGTAGACACCGCAATAAATTCAGCGCGCAAAAATTCAAAATCGCAAACGCACGCGCAAGTCATCTCAACGCGTCAGCAAACCGTTAGTTATAAAATCATAGTATCCATTCGCCTGAAGATCGCTTTTAAGCGTGAAACACAGTGTAGCGATGAAAATATTTTAAGATTAAATTAAATTAAATATATTGCTCTATCACACCTCGATATTGAGCACTCTTTGTTCAAGTACGGACAACGATATTATATTGGATATATATCATCATCTATATATATTATATTATTTTATTATTTTTATTATTATTATACATAAAACATACTCCCAATAGGGCTTTTCAGTATGTACTAACAAGACTAAAAATAGGTATATTTCTATCTACAATTACGTTATTGACTATGCTATGTTTATAAAATATGTTTACAATTAAGAGAAATCCTAGTTGTATAGTTATACTAAGATTTTAATACTTTAACTAAGATAGGTTTCCGTTAACGTTATTTGTTAACATATTTTTCTTTAAGTGCTTCTTAAATGTTTTAAAAGGTAGTTTTTTAAAATCTTTATCTAGAATGTTCCAGATTTTTATTGCTCTATAGCAAAAACTTCTTTGACCTGATGTTGTTTTGCATGGGGGAATGTCAAGGTCGTCTTTATTCCGGGTGTTCTTGTTGTGAACTGCATTTCGTTTTAAAAACTGGTCGCATAAGTACGGCGGTGCAAGTTCGTTCATGCATTTATAAGCCATTAGTGTATCTCTGTACTGTAAATGTTCCTTGACTGGGAGCCAACCGATCGCCTGTAGTACTGGTGTTATGTGGTCGTATTTCCTTGTATTTGTTATAATCCTACAAGCAAAATTTTGTACTTTTTCGAGTTTTTTTATGTTTGTTGCCGATGTATTCGACCACACCGTAGAGCAGTAATACAATCTGCTCATCACTAGGGCATTGACAATCGTGTGGAGGGTTTCGCTATCGAAGCTGTCCTTTACTCTATTTATTTGGTACAGTTTTGCCATTGAAGATGATATGACGTGTCGTATATGATGATCATAACTTAAATAACTGTCCATGAATAGCCCTAGGTCTTTGGCGTAAGAGGAAGGTGTGATCTCTTTTCCTAGGAACGAGATAACCAGTCCTTCAGTAAGGTTTCCGATTAACTGTCGAGTGCCTATTAGCATTAATTTTGTCTTTTCAGGGTTAATTAACAGCTTATTTGTGAAACACCATGTTGCAATCCTCTTAAGATCCTCTTCTATGTTACTTTTTGCATCGATTATATTCGTGATTGGAAAGGACATGAATATTTTCGAATCATCCACAAATGATTCTAACTTAGCTGTTTTTGGTGCTGTTGGAAGGTCGTTTATATAGATGCAAAATAACAGAGGTGACAATATTGCCCCTTGTGGGACGCCATGAGTGATTGAAAGAGTTTCTGATACTGAAGAGCCAATGCGTACGTATTGCTTTCTGTCTGAAAGGTAGCTTCTAAACCAATTTAGAGCCTTACGAGATACTCCAATATTGCTTAGTTTTTGAAGCAATATTGTGTGGTCGATGCTATCGAAGGCTTTGGACAGATCTAACAGAATAAGGGCAGATAGCTCTTTGTTATCCATTGCGTTCAGGAAAAAATCGTTTACTAATATATTGAGGGTTTCCGTTGAATGGTACTTTCTGTTTCCACTCTGGTGTGCCGTAAGGTGGCCGGTCCGTTTAAAAAACTCGTGAATTGATTTAAGGCCGCTTTCTCACATACCTTCGAGATTACATTGAGCATTGAGAGGGGACGGTTGTTGGAGGCTATTTCGTGATCCCCTTCTTTTAATATTGGTATGATTTCTGCTATTTTCCAGGCTTCTGGAAACGTATTAGTTGTAAATGAACTGTTGATGATATCCGTCAGGGGGCCTAAGATTACTTGGAGGCAGTCTTTAATAGTTCTCATACTGATTTTGTCGGGACCTGGTGATTTATTTGATGGCATAGATGTTAGTATGCGTTCAATTTCCGCACAGGTAACAGGTATGAAGTGGAATGACTCTTCGATCGGACATTGTAGGTTCTTGATTTCACAGGCAGACATGGAAGATATATTGATGTTATTATCTAAGGCCAGTTGCGTAGCTGTTTCGGCGGCTGTTATCCCTACTGACTGGAAAAAACTGTTAAAATCGTTGGCAACCTCTTCCTGGTTTTTGCTGTATATTGGGGTTGTTTTGTCTCTAGACGGAATGCGGCTATGAATTACTTTCCAAAGTGACCCAGGTTTGTCTTTATGTGTATTAACTTCAGTGCGGACGTAGTCTTTCTCTGCGACTTTTAAGGTGGATTTGATTGATTTTTGGACTGTTTTAAAGTTCTTCCAGTCCTCCATTTCTCGTGTCTGTTTGTATCGACGATGTAGCTGGTCTCTGTAGATCATTTGTTTTTTGATGTCAGCAGTAACAAATGGACAGGCGACGTCGAATCTTGACCTCTTTAATTGGAGCATGGACAGCCAAAGTAGTAGAGAGGACATCATTAAGTTTTCTGAGTTTTGAATTGACATTGGAATCGAAAAAGATAGAAATGAGTTCTTGTGATCTTGTACCAAGATGGGTAATGAACTTTGAACTATCATAGCTTTTATAGCTTCGCGTCAGGATGCTCTGTACTGATGGCTTAGGAAGTTTCATGTTTAACGCGGTGTATACTGGTAGGTGGTCGCTTATGAGTGTGTCCATAACACCACTTTGATGGACAAGGTTGGGTGATGAAGTTATGATTACGTCGATTAGTGATTCACAAGTGTTTGTGATCCTGGTTGGTGAAGTGATCAATTGCTTTAAGTTCATCTCGTACATGAAGTTTTCCAATGCTGTGGTCTCAGCGGTGACCTTCATGGTGTTGCAATTGAGGTCTCCCAAAATAAATATGGGTTTGTCCTGCATGGCGGCTTGCATATAACTTGCTTTTAGGTTGTTTTCTAGGCAGGACGGCGGGCAGTCTGGTGGTCTATATGATACACAGAGCAGGATAGATCTTAACTTTTTAGTCTGAAGTTTGAGCCAAAGCTGCTGGAAGTAATCGGTGGAAACTGATGATATTTCCTTCAGTACGGTGACCTTAATATCACTCCGAATGTACGCAGCTACCCCTCCTCCTCTTTTGTGAGGCGGTCTTGGCGGTAAATTTTATAGCCCTCCAAGTTGATCTCGGCATTTGGTATGGTTGTGTTTAACCAAGTCTCTGATAATGTTATTGCCTCAATCCTTGTCTTTGAAACAAATTCGGCGAATTGGATCCAATGGGAGGTATTTCGTAGAGACCTTATATTTAAGTGTACCAGACGGAAATGGGGGGACTTTGAAATGTTATAATTTTGCGGAGTGTCCCGTTCTATACTAAGGTCTTTCAGGGTCGAGTGTTCATTCCAAGACCTGCCTTCAGTGGTAGGAATGTCGATCATATTGGGATTTCGTAAAAGCTTGTTTTGCTTGGTATTTCGTTTGTTAATTAATTTAACATTGTGATTCGTAATCCTCACAGGTATCGGATAGACTTTATCAGATTTCGTGAGGGATCGACGTGGCATGCATCGTTATCTAGACCCATGTTCCATTCTGGTCTACAGTACGATTGATGGGTTGGTAGGCTTGGCGGAAGTATTGTTTGTAAATGGGTGATTGGGGACGTTGGCTCAGAGTTGACTGCTGTGGGTGGTGTACATGGAAAGGCGGGAATTGATTCTGGCCCAATGACTGGTAGGTAAGTGGTTTGTTTAGGCAATGTGATTGGTACGATGGTAACTTCCTTAGGTGTTTTACCTGATATGGTGGTGGGCTGTTTACACGTGTCCGATATTTGGCCGGTGTATGGTTTGTCAATCTCCGGTGAAAAGGAGGCCTGTTTCTGCGATCAGATTTCCGGCGGTTAGCGCTGTTATTAGTGTTGGCTTTTGGTGGGAAAGTCCGCCGGTTGTCCTGTCTACTCGAGCCAAAGGAGGACTTTTGGGATTTTGGGTTTTTTGTAGAAATGTGGGGCCGATTGGTTTGAGTGTAGTTACTGGATACTTTGGTTTCTTTTGGATATGTGTTCTTATGTATATCTCTGTGTTTCGCTTTATATGAACGTAGCTGTTCGTTCAGATGGTAGTGGGTGTATTCTTTGCTTTGTTGTTGTCTATATGACCTGATTTGCATCTTTTGATCTTTAATCGCTCGAGTATTGCCTTTGTTTTTATATGAAAGAGGGGTGGGTTCTTTGTGCATATGGTCGTTATCATTAGCCTGTTTGACATTTGGATTTGTGGGGGCGGTAATTGCCGGATTTTCCTCGGCCTCGTTAGGCTTGCAAGTTGAGGGTATCGTATCTTCGAGTAATATGATGTTAGGAATTTGATCTTTATCCGGATTTAGCTGTCGTTCGCCTGTTCCTTTATTGACCATACGTTTGATTTCAATTAGGTCTCTTTCCATCTGTTTTATTTTTCCTGTTTCCTTTGAGAATTCTTGCATTTGCAATTCAAATTTGTTAATGTTGTGGCCAGGGAATGAACGACCTTCTTGTACGTTTGCTAAAGATTGTAGGGCATCGGTTTTTGATTGTAATATCTCGATATCGAGTCTAATACCGTCGAGATCAGTTGTGATTTGAGTACATGAACACTGATCAGAAAGTTTTTTGGGTGGCTCGCTACTTGCTCCGCTCTCGTCATTCAAGCGTGGTAGGCCAAGGCCAAGCGTTGCTTCGCCCATTAGGATGTTACAAAACTGCTTTTTGATTCTATTGGCTTCTCTGCCACTGAGTTGGAGCTTCTTCTGTTTTCTCCACCACATTATTGTCGTTTGGCCATTGCTGTAGGATTTTCGCTCGTCTCCCGGTGATTTCCAAGTACCGTTAAGATCAATATTCAAATCTACAAATCGTTTGAGAGATTCGAAATCTCCTGACCAGGAGAGTTTCAAGTGGGAGTTTAGTTCACCACAAATGTCGTTGTTATCGTTGTTTGATTGTGTAGAATCGATATCTCCATCCGATGGTTGGGAATTACTGTTGGCATTCGAGTTAATCGAAGAGCGCAAAATCTCCTGGCACTCCGCCATGTCGTGACACTACGTCTGTCTCGTCTGTCTCATCAAATAATATAAATTATCTTTTGATTATTTTATTCATTTCAGTGGAGATATCTTTTTCACGACACAAGTCAGATAGAATCAGTGGCGTAACGACAGGGTGTCAAGTCAAGTGACCTATATGTATGTCCATCGTCCATCGACATATATATATGTCCATCGTTAACAGGCGTGGACAAATACGGGCCGAGATTCAGTATCATTGAGAGATATTGCGAGTTTAGTACGAGAAGGTCTGCAAAAACGTTGAAACAGAAATACACAAGTTTAATGCAGGTAAGTTTTATTTCTGGGGACAGTTGTTTAAAACACGGCTAACTTAAACCAGGATATGCAAATCTTTACATTCAATTTTCGCAATTTGTCTAATTTGTTGTGAACAGACGTGTTCATATGCTCCCATCCAATTTGCAAATTTAAACACGATTAATTAAGAAGCAAAACTAACTTGTAGGTGCTTTTCAGAGCGTTTGTAATTATTTTATTTTTTCTCGACGTAATAGTTTATTATCTTTCGTTACTGTTTTATGTTGTTCATGAGTGTTTTCACAGCTAAACATTGTGAATTTACTAAATCTGTGTGTGTTTTTCAGGCTACTTGCTATAAGCCAAAGAAACGATGTCCGTTCACTGTCCAAGAAGAGGAAAACCTCAAGGAAGGCGTTTCTAAATATGGCTTTCAATGGAAAAAGATTTTGAATCATTACAGTTTTATGCCGCAAAAGACTCCGCAAAACCTGAAAGACAAATGGCGAAATATGTTAAAATGAGGATAAAATATTTCCTAGGATTTCGGGAGAAGGTGTTTTTTTTTGCAATTTCGCTTTCATCGCTAATGTTATGACTATGATTTGAAATTATTCATTTATATAAGTTGCCTGCTATAGCAGGCGAATTTAAATATTGAAAATTTTCAACGCTCAAATCTCAACAATGCTGTATAAGGTTAAAAATGTTGGTATCTATATACTCTATTAATACAAGTTTAGAATGGTTTAAGGTTGACTGTGTGCTAATTTGTCGAATTATATAAAATGTTTTTGCTAAATTCGCTCATTGTGTTAGCAAATAGTTTTGTTATAATTATACCTAATGCGTTCCTATTGGACAAGAGGTCCACCCGTAAAGGGCTTCAAATCTAAATGATTACTCGTGATCAACACAAGATGGCTTCAAATTTCATAATTTTCCCTAGGACAAATTATGAAATTTGATGCGCATTCCTATGCTTTCCCTTTGAAAATCACAGGGAAGTGGCGGCCATGTATATTTTTTATGATAAAGAATTTTTCTACTGTTTTTGAAGTTAACTTTATATTGTTTCATATTCTAATCTATACAGGCACTGTTTAGGAATTGGCTCTTCTTTGGCCTCCGGTTTATTTTTATTTAGCACAAAACACACTGTTTCCCTCGGCGTTAGGTAATCAGTGTTAAGTAATTCAAATTAAACAAAGGCCTTGGGAGTTGGGAGGCCTGTTATGATTATGTAAGCAAATGGAGGGAGAAATATAATAATATGGGCCCACCCTGAACTTGTAGAGTTTGGTTTCCCGATCCTTCTTATCTTCTCTGTTTGTTGGTAGTACGTTCAAACACGGGGTTCGGCGGTTTTATTGGAAGTTGGTTATCATGTGACGGGATGCGCATCTTTTTTCTTTTCTTATTTCTAGTTCCGGAGCGTTTATTCGTAAGCAAGAGCTGAGGATTGGCAAGCCATACCATTTGTTTTCCCGTTTCGACCGAAGTATGTGAATTCATTAGCGAGGAAAATTGTTATTTTTTGCAAATAAAGATAACAAGATGCCAACAACTTTATTGACGTGAGGAAAATGTAATGCCTACCGATACGTTTATTATTTTACCGATATACATATACAATTCGTATTTATATATAATATTTTCATTGTGCGACTATTAGTATTAGGCCCTCGAAGCCTGTCCTATCGAATACCTGATGAGTGATGTGTGTAAATAAGTTCAGTGATTTTCTTCTGTTTGAAATAAATTATTGAACAGAAATCCTTCGTTATTCTGTGCATGGCATCGACTCACCCGCAAAATGGCGGATCATGCCAGAGGGGTGCTAAAACTTTGCACATGTTGTACCTCTGAGTGGCCATTCTGTCATTCGTTATTCTGTGGTCATGTGTGCTCAAGTCGATTGTAAATCCAGTGTAAAAAAATGTAATCCAACCTCATGCAGAACGCTATTTTTGGAAAATCATACAACCAATTAACAAGCCCCATTTCAAAAGAATTACCAAATTCAAGCCCGATAAAAAAGCTAACTTTATAATAACATATTTCTCTCCTGCATGCATGTGCTAAACTAGACAGAAGTTACGGTTGATCACAATATAGGATCATTTCATTAGTTTCGTCCTCCAACACAATTAATGAATGTTATAGTGGCTTTACAAGGATGATGTTTACGAAATATGACACCATCTAACATGCGACGTTATCATCCCTAATTGCCAGCGAAATTGGATATCGAAAACGTACGTGATTTGATAAAAGTTAAACAGTTCAGCTAGCAGGACTGATAACTGAAGAAGAATTCCCAGCCCATCAAAAACTACAGCGTGTTTTTGCAACTCAACGAGAGTAAAGGCAAACAAAAAGGTAAGGAAAAACTGAAATAATATGGAAAGCATCTCAGTCTAAGTAAGAGCATCAGCTAGTTGTATACAGCGCAGCGCTAATTTCGCCGCGAAGATTATTCGTACGAAAAGCGCGCGGCGAGAAAAATATCTGATATTGAGCGCTTTTGCCGCAGGAGCTTTTGCGCTCGAAAATGGACTCCGCACACCCGGCGTAGTCTTCCGCACGAAATCAGTAGCGCTGCGCTATTTTCGCGTAATGTGTGACTTGCTTAAAGCCTGGTTCGCATTTAGTCGTAATTGTCGTGAACACGTTTTTTACACGGATAAGAAATAGTGCGAATGTGAATTTATTTCTATATTCAAATCGCACATAATAATATTCCATCACATCATCCATACAACTTTACTTGTTTACGACACTCACGACTCAAAAGAAACCAGGCATTAGTGAATAAATAACACGAGTTTGCAACTCGCATTAACTAGAATCACTGTTTATATAACCCGCAATTGACAATGACAGACTTAGTTCTGCGGAATTTAAGGGAAGCCAGTGTTTTGAAATGTGCAGCAGATAACTATCTTCATAATCATATTAAAGCCATGCAGACAACGCGTGATCAATCGTTCAAAATATCCTAAAATAATAGACATGTGTATACGTGCAGAAATGTTTGGCTATAGTTCAATTCTCAGAATATAAAGTTTAGAGCGTGTAGGTCAAGTGTGTTTTTGCAATGGAAGAATCATACTTAAACTAAAAGCTAATCTGTCCTCAACACGCCAAACGAGTGTCGTTTTCATGACAAAAATCTTTTTTTTCAGAATTTTACTTTGTGAACTTGATGAAAAAATAGTAGAAGATTAAATCTCGATGAAAGCTCAGTTCATTATCGAAAAATTTTATTTTGCACCAAATATTTATTCATAAATCTGTCAAGGACCAATTAAATCCGCCTTTTTTTTAAATGCCATACCGGATTTAACATTGCGAATGGAGCTTAATAGATTAAAACTAAGTTAAGAAAGATTAAGTTAATAAATTCAAATATACAAATAAGTCACAACCAAACAAGACTGATTTATTACCATGATTGATTCCACTACTGCATTATTATGATGAGTATTAAATGATTGGTTTGTTTTTAAAAAACCCTGTATATGCGATACGGGATCTTAAAAATGCGAATGGAGCTTAATAAAGTAATTAAGTTAGCAAATTTAAATAAACAATTAAGACATACTATAACCAAACAAGACTGATTTATTACCATTTCACTGATCACTATAATTGCATATATTTTTGAACTGACGATTGTCTATATAGTACGTGTCTGCCTTAATAATTGTTATTTATTAGAGATTAAGGCTTTAAATGAATAAATTCTTCGTAACATTAGGTATCTATAAGGAGTCTTTTCTCTATTTTTTCTAGTGCCATGGCATCAGCCTTTCTTTTTAGCCATACTCACCTTTTGAAAGGTGTGAAACAATTCAAGGAAAGAATAAAAGATCAAGACCCGCCAATCATTCAACAGAGTGATTATTTAAAAAAGTTCATGCTGAAAATCCAAAAGGAAAATTTGAACGCGGCCTATTTGGAGTATGGCGACACCCCGCCTCGCCTCCTCATCCAGTAAAAGTTGCATCGAGCCCACCTCGGTGTGTTGAATATGACGTCATTATTGTTGGAGCTGGTATGGCTGGTCTTGCCGCAGCGTATGAGCTGAAGAGGGTAGGTCTAAATGTAAAAATTCTGGAGCAGACTGATCGTTATGGTGAAAGAGTTTTCACTTATGGGGAAGATGCAGGCCTTGCACCTGGTCTATTTGGCGAAGGTATGCCTAAGGAAAGCAAAATATACGACCGCCGTATATTTGCACCCATTTTCTTAGTATTACCATACACGTAGCATTTCCAAACACATGAACAGTTTTGTCTCCCTTCCTTGCTAGTCTATAGGCTACAGTAAGTTGCCGAAGACACCACGAGGTTTCACAGGCCCTCTAGCTCTAGCTTAATTCCTAAAATAACAGCAATGATTTGAGCCATCTGGGGCCGGTTGATGAAAAGCCGCTGAACTTAACCCAGTGTTAACGCAAATTTTTGCGTCAATTTCTATCATCGCTTGTTCGTAAAAATTGAATATTTTGACCATAAGTATTTTTTGGGTCAATAGAAATAATATTTATATTTGTAAACTTTTGAAATAAGCGGCGGGCAGAAGCACGTAAACTAAAACAGCGGATTAAAATTTAACCCAAAGTTAGCGCTAACTAGCTTTGAACAACCGGGCCCTGGGGCCAGTTGTTCAAAGCAGGGTTATATAGCACTAACCAAGAGTTTTGTTTTAAGTGCTCATGAACCGCTCTGCTCGTTTTAGAACCTTTACAAAATATGGCTATTGACGGTCTAGAAAATATTTATGGAAAAAAATATTCTACTTTGACAAGCGATATAAAATATTGTTTTAAAGATTTGCTTTAATCCAGGGTTAAGCTAAACAACCGGCCCCTGGTTGTACGAAGTCTGGATGGCGCTACCCACTGGATAGCGATTTTTTCTGTTTTAAATGTTTTATCGAATAACAGGCGATTTTAGAGGGATTGATAAAACAACTATCCGCTGGATAGCGCTATCAAGCTTTCGCACTTAACGCACCTAATGTCAACTAACGTTTACCTCACGTACATATTGCAATATCTACAGCAATATGAAATATGAAATATCTCTGCATTTTTAGGCGGAGCGATGAGATTGCCTGATGGTGTTGGCTCATCCGCCACTAAAACGCATTTTCTGACCGATGGGTATATAAGGAAATTTAACTTGAAGACAAAAGCATTTCCAAATTACGATGAAAATGGCCTTTCCTATATTTACGGAGTGAAGGAGAAATCGAATCGTATGTGAAATTAGATCTTATAAGAAATGTTCATACTATATTATAAAGTTTTATGTTATCGTAACTAAATAGATATTCAACGGTGCGTCAAATTTTCCGCTTCCTTGGTTTTCCTAATTTCGGCTACCATATTTCGTTTAAATTCTCTCCAGCAACCATTTTGAGAGAAAAAGATGAGGTCATCAGTGGTGATACGTAATGTTTCCTGGATTCGTTTGAGTTCTTGCAACAAAAAATCCTAAAACTCAAATTTAACATCAAGGGCGCCAGTGCTTCAAATCTATGTTAGCGCTAACCCTGGGTTAAATATTAATCCAGTGTTTTAGTTTATGTGCTTCTGAACCACTCTTTGTAAAACTTTAGAAAATATGACTTCTATCAGTCCAGAAAATATTGATGAAAAAAGATATTCAACTTTGTGAACAAGGCCCCTGTTGTATTATTATTGTCTCAGACAAACTAAGCTACATATTTTAATGAACTCAATTCACATGTGGCTAAAAAGGTTTGCAATTTCACTGGGATTGGGTAAGGAAAGCAGAGATCATAAAAAAATTGTATCATTATTCGTATATTAATAAAAGGCTCAATAGCTAATCCATCAGTTAATCCAATATGATTCACCTTTTAAACGATAAACTATACGCATGACTTATGCTGTTGATTTTCTTGCTTAGTTTGGGGAGAGAAAAATTTTGCAATCGTTTGGCCAGATTGGAAGAAAGGGATTAGTGTCATCGATGTTAAGGATATAGGTACTGTATTACATACATACTGTTCTCATGCTTGTAAGGTGGCTCTCTTCAGTTAGTACAGTTTTTTACACGATTCGCGACTTGACAACAAACTGCTTGGTTTTTTGGTTAAATATCGGTGAGAAAATGTCCGATTTCCAGCATCTTGATTTTTAAACAGTTGCTGTGGTGTTAGAAAGAAAGAAACTGTCTTTTCAGAACAAAAAATTGCGAATGTCAAAAAAACCTATCCTGCAACTTTCTCTAAAAAAAATGTACTGAAGGAAAATGTTTACTTTTTCGTCATCTCCATTATTGGGGCAATGTTTTCCGAGTTTCGAGATCCTATCCTACAAAATAAGGAAATGAACAACTTTTATACACAGAAGTGCGCTAGAAGTTAATTAGTATTGGGAGCATGCTTTAAAAACACGCCTGTTCTGGCGTTTTCTTCGGCGAGTGTGCCACTCTTGTCAATTGGACAGCTTCTTAGCATAACAGTCTCTACCGTATACGTATTTAGAGGGCGCATCGTGTTTCAAAAAAATTAGAAGTTTAAAATCTAAACAAACCGTTTGTTTGCCTACGGACATGATTTTCACTTTAGCTTTGGAGTTCGTGTTCCCACTTTTATTAAGATTTGTTAATTTCAGTCTAGATATTTCAAGAACTAAGCAAGATGTATAATTTTCTGAGTTCTTTTAAAAAAGTCAATATTGGAACTAAATCGTGTCAGGCTGGCTACGTTTCTGATGACCAAGGATTCTACAACTGTTGAGGATTATCATCGTAGTCATTTAATACTTTTCCTGATTCTTAAATATTTTTAGATGATTATTACACAAAAACAACCAAGGTTGTCACGGATCAATTGATTGCCTAGTTGAAAAATACGACCACCATTGAAGAAGAAATTAATGTGTGGGAACGCTGGATCGACATTTGGAGCCAGTTTACATTGGAAAGCTTTCTGGAGAGCAATAAAGATGTTATTTGTGCAAAATTAACAAAAGATGATCAAGATTGCTTAGATGTCACGTTGCTTGGCAAACTTTTGCCCTGGTCCAACGATGCACTTCGTGGATACTCTGTATATTCTTACACAGAACAGCTGGATCAGTCATTGGTCCAGTATCTTCGCGGTCAGCTGGGAAACTGGTGGTCACGAGATATGCATACCATAGTGGGTGGCATGCACAGTTTACCAGAAGCTTTCTTCACGTGTGAGAAAGATCCGTTGGTTTCTGACGATGTCGAAATGAAGAAACAAGTTTACAAGATTCGTTATTATTCCTCACCCTGTCAGCCTAACGACGATTATGTCATTGTTTCCTGTTATGCAAATCCATCAGAAGAAGAAACTGATTACATAGCGCGGGTAAGTTTATTCAGTGGCGTATTCAGCCTCACAGCCCATGCAATCGTCCTATGAAAATTAGAGCTATGGTATCATAATTATTCATCTCTTTTTAAATTCATTGAACAACAAAATATTAACATAGCGGAACCAAACCGTCTGGCTGGGTATGCCACTGAGTTCATGGATTAAGATTTTCATAAAACTTTTTTCCTTGCTACCTTTTTTAACACGTATCACCCATTATGCTTACTGCGTGCATATTTTTCAGAATATAATTAACATGTCTTGCAGTACATTGAAGTAAACCATATGAATCTGCCGAAAATATCTATCATCTTTCATCACTGTCATTTCATCCAGCTTTTATTTCATTTAGTTTTGATCACTTGTTAGGCTAAATCATTCTCTCTGAAATTTTGAGCTCGAGTTATGAATATGCTTCATGTAAATAAAAATGTGAGCATGCCCTAAAAAAACTTCAGCAGTAATAATTTGTTTAAACTTTGATGTAGGCCGTAATCGTTACCACTCAAGTCAACATATTGCGGCAGATTACGTTTGAGCCAATTGAACCAAACCAGGAAGACAGGGTGGCCCTCAGAAAGAATCTTCAAGCTATTGAAGACATGTTTACAGGACCAGCCACAAAGATTATCCTGCAAACCAAGACCAGATTCTGGGAAGAAGAGAAGTACGGCATCAAAGGTGGCTTTTCTAAGACCAACCTACCCATCGGTCAAATACATTACGTAAAGCCGGATGTCGATTCCACCAAGCAAGGAATAATTCTGATTTACACCTGGAAAAATGAAGCACTACTTTTTGGTTCCTTGACGAAAGATCAGGCAAAAAAGGAAGTCATTGAGCAAGTTGAGAAATCCACCCTGAGATCAAAGAAGAAGGGGCAGTTTAAAAAATGTATTGTCCATGCTTGGTACAACCAACCCTCTTATCAAGGTGCCTATGGACTCTTGAAGACCACTCAATACAACAATATCAGGTGCGTTGTAATCATAATATTATAGTACTTGATTGTGTGCTCGTTTTTACTTTTAAGAATCACTCTGTATGGCCGACCAATGATTATATATTGTACTTATTCAAGTGCACTATGTGAATATTAAATATTGTCGCCGATACAGACCACGGTAAAACTCTAACGCGTTAAACAACATTCTCCGATATATCTCTTTCTTTGTATAACCTACAGATATTTGTGGGAACCAATGGGTAATGTGCATTTTGCTGGCGATAACATATCATTTACCGCTGGCTGGATTCAAGGAGCTTTGGAAAGTGGTTTTAAATCAGCTTATCAAGTTTACGCACGTCACATGAAAAGAGTTAAATGAGATGGGAAAGATTACATTTAATCGCATTTTGCTAAAAATCCAAGTAGAAAAACTGCATAGCATAATATCATGATATTTGTTTATTTTTTGGGCTGATTATATAAATTTTGATTGCTTGATCTTTCTATGTATAAGAAGTAGACAGTAAAACTTAAAACGATATTAATTTTGGAATAAAGGATTTGTAAAACAGACACAATTGGAGAATTGTGCCTTGACATGCTTTTGCACCTTCCATTTGCATCCTAGTTTCAAAACGGTTTTTAACAGATTTAGGTAGTTTTTTACTTTCATTTAATTTGAATCTTTCATCAGATTTGACTTCCATTCCACAAATAAATTTTACGCTCACATGTGTGTGGTAGCTATAAGGCTACTTATTCATAAGGTGATCGATTACACTGCCCACACCCCCCCCTGATGTTCGAGAATATTATGTAGGTTAACAACAATATATATCAAAACACAGACTGTTGAATAGAAACACTGTCTTTTACAGTGGCTCCCTACAATTTTTTAAAATATTGAAAATTTGTGGTTTTGATTTAAAATTTTAGCACGAGATTTCTTGCTAAGGAAAAGAAATTTCCCAGATATATTAACCAACATTCTAACAGTCAGAAATTGCCTATAAGCATGACGTCATTACCGTTGTTATTGTAACAATAGACAGACTTAGATCGAGGACGGGAACGTCATGAGGACGTGAAAATATTGCGCAAGGTCTGGATCGAGTACGTCGTCGTGTTGTCAAAGTAAACAGACTTAGATAAGTTTCTAGGACGCCAAAAGGCCCAAAAGGAAGGAGAACATATTTCGAAAACGAAAAATGGGTCTCTGTTATAAAATATCCGAAATTTTTATTAATAATCTTCTTCAAGTGGAGGACTGTTTCGAAAGAAAGGTTTATCATATTTAACAATTAAGTTTTAATGAACTGTATAAAATTTTACGAACAATTTTGATTCATAGTGATTAGTATTGTAATATCATACATACTGTCTGAATGTTCATACAAGTATATCTTGTAAAATACTTATTATTAGTCTTTTTTTCTGAAATTGTTCTATTGCTGTTTTTAAATTAAATTTTAGTCGTTAAAATCCTAATCAGCTGTCGTGATGTTTATATAGTTGTTGAGCTTGTTTTTATAGTAAAATGTCTTACAATTTGCAATCTGTTCGCGATGCTTTAATTCTTGCTCGAGCTCAGCAGTATATCACTGATGCAGAGTTTATTGTGTTGTACGACTGCAACTGGTCGAAACCGTTGTTTCCATACTGGAAATTTGAGTCGTTTACGCAGATAGTTGGGATGACGAAGAATGCTGGACTGAAATGCGATTTGCTAAGGGAGACTTGCCATTATTAAAGCAACTGCTTGGAGTACCTGATAAGATTACCTGTCGACAAGGAACAACGTGTTCAGGAGAGGAAGCACTGCTCATTTTGCTGAATAGATTTGCGTATCCATGCAGATACTTTGATATGGTGAGCCGGTTTGGTAGGAATCCATCTGAGTTGTGTTTGATTTACAATGAAGTGCTGGATTTGGTGTATGAACAACATCATCATCGCCTTGAGAGCTGGAATCAGCCTTTTTTGTCACCGGAGATGCTTCAGAGTTATGCTGATGCTATTCATTATAAGGGTGCCCCATTACAAAATTGCTTTGGGTTTGTGGATGGAACTGTTCGGCAAATTGCACGGCCAAAATACAACCAAAGGACTATGTATAATGGTCACAAGAGGGCTCATGCCATAAAATTTCAGAGTGTTGTTGTGCCAAATGGTCTAATTGCTAACCTCTCCGGCCCCTTTGAGGGTAAACGCCATGACAGTACAATGCTGAATGAATCTGGTCTCTTGACACAACTGGAGCAAAATGCTTTCTACAACAACCAACCTCTTTGCTTATATGGTGACCCAGCCTACCCCTTGAGAGTTCACCTGCAGGCACCATTCAGGGATAGACAGCTGACACCAGAGATGAGAGAATTTAACATGAAGATGAGTAATGTGAGGGTAACTGTTGAGTGGATGTTTGGAAACATTACTAAGTACTTTAGCTTTGTTGATTTTAAGAGGCAAATGAAGGTAAATTTAAGTCCGGTTGGAAAGATTTACAGTGTGGCTGCATTACTACAGAATGCTCATACCTGCTTGTGTGGGAACATTGTTTCTCATTTTTTTAACCTTCCACCACCTTCAATCCATGAATATTTCTGGCAATAACACTTACACATTTACTAGGTTATTGGGTAGTTAACAGCCCACCAGTTTATATACAATATATGTATTTCACGAGTTTCCATGGCAATTTTATAATGAATTTATTTAATGTTAAAATTCATGGTAATTGATTACAACAAATTATTTAATGTTGAAAATGTTACTGTAAATATACAAAAGAAAGAAACTTATTTTTTAAGATGAAAATGTAATGTAATTAAAACTATTTTTTAAACATGTTCACCAACATTTGTGTTTGTTGTTGCTGTTGCTGCATCAAGGAAACAATTTGCTGCTGCATAAAACTGAATTCTTGTTTCTGCTGCTGTTGCTGCTGTTGTTGCATTTGCACTTGTTGCTGAAAGTACTGCTCCGATAGCTTCATCTGCATAATAAATTGCTGCTGGGTTTGCTGCATCAGCTGCAAAGTTTCCATGTGTTGCCTCTGTTGCCCTTCCATATATGCTCTCTTCTCTTCCTGCTTTGCCTCTTTTTCTTCTTTCTCCACTTCTATTCTTTGTTGTAGCCATTCCATCATATCACCAGATCTTCTTCTCTTTTGTACTTGTCCAGCAGTTTCACTTGTCCCTGCAGTTCTCTTCTTTGTTTGTCCAATTCTTTCCATTGCCCTTTCTCTCATTTCCAAGGCTTGTCCTCTTTCTTGCTCAATCCTCTGATTTCTTACTTCGTTTTCACTCTCTACCTGTCGTTCAGTTTCATCTTCAATGTCAATCAGCTCTTCCAACAAGCGCTCCTGCTCTGTGAGTTCATCACCACCTTCCCCTGTCGATCTATCCTCTCGTGCCATTCTTGCTCGATACTTCTTGGTCATCATGTTGAAGTGATCTCTGACTGCCCTTGATGTGACTTCGTGGCCCAACCCACTTATATTATCTGCAACATTCTGCCACTGTGCACCACGTTCCCGGGACCTCTGTTTGTGTGTCAGTACACCTTCTGCTGCAACTTCCTTTAGAAGTGTGAGATCTTTCTCATTAGACCATACCATACTGGACCTAAGAAAAAATACTGAAGGCTGAATGAGCAAACCCACACAACACTGCATGTATAAAGTTCAAGTATGCATAGTACCACAAAATATTAGTTACCATTTAAATTGTATTATTTTATTAATTTGTACTTTAAATTGTACTTTATATTAAACTTGATAGTTTGTAATGATGTTACTATGTATTTTGCTTACTTTTTCTTTGAGCAATCCTTTTTTTCTTCCATATTTGGTTTTCCAAAAGGACCACCATTAAATCTAAAAACAAAATATATAACATAAATATAAAAAGCTTATTTAGCAATTATACGAGCCGATATTTATACACAATTATAACATCCTCGATAAAATCCATTTATATAAACAAATCCATTTGTAAATCCGAGTTTGTATATAAGACGAAACTGTAAAAATTAAACTTTCTTTAAAACCATATTTACACAAAGTTAGAGAGAAGAATATCAGTAAATATGAACGTGAAACATAAAAGTCCGCCAGCAGAATTTGTAATACAAACAGCTCTTAGACTTTGTTTACAAGATGCGAAACCGGAAAAAGAATCCAATTATTTATGCCATAAATTAAATAAATACGCATATTATTTTAAAAATAACAATAAAACAATGACTAATGACATCATTTATACAATTTTTTGTTGTCACATACCTTTTCGCGAGCAGAAAAACAACAAAAACTTTGACGTCCTAGACAAGACGTGAAAATTCGTTTTTGGCGTCCTGAAAATAGGTAAGACGACGTCGCCATCTGAGACAATGCAATATTTTCGCGCCATATTACGTCATCTCGCGTCCTCTTAACGTTCACGTCCTCGATCTAAGTCTGTCTAATGGCGATTCAACATGGCCGACATTTTACCTTTCACGCATTTTACTCGAAAACAAGTTCGGTTACCCCAATTTTTTTTTATAAAAAGTTTTCTTACAAAAAAATGGAAAATTTGAACCAGTTAAAAAAAATTCTATAGCGCCAAAATTATTAAAAATTAAAAAACGTGATTTTTCGTTATAGAAATTTCTGGCTCTATAGAACTTTTTTAAATTTCCCATTTTTTTATAAGAAAACTTTTTATAAAATAAAAAATTGGGGGAACCGTACTTGTTTTCGAGTAAAATGCATAAATAGGTAAAATGACGGCCATATTGAATCGTCATTTTTACCATAACAACGGTAATGACGTCATACTCAAAGACAATTTTCAAATGTTAGAATGTTGGTTAATATATCTGGAAAATTTTATCTCGTTTAGCAAGAAATTTCCTGCCAAAAATTTCAATCTAAATCATTAGTTTTCAATATTCCTAAAACTGTAGGGAGCCACCTAAACACAACAAATTTAAATCAAGATTTTTCAATAATTCACGACTGCATGGTATGTGGTAAGGGGAATATTGTTTACGTACTAGAATAACTTGAAGTATTCAATGAAAGTCTATTAATTGTTTGGCAAAATCTGCATGCCCCCAAATGGCCAATATTCAAAACGAAGAACAGAAAACGCTATTTGAATACTGCGAGACACAGTACCAGCAAGGAGCAGAACACTCTTAATATGCGATGTAATATGCGATGGAAAACATTGGAGTTGAAGTAGAAGGTTTGTTGTTGCTAGTGAATATTATGGCAGGTAGGGATTTACGAATTTCAGATCAGATCCTATTTTGATCGCGAGGACTACACGCACCCATTGAAAATAATGCCGGGAATAGTGTTGTTGTTTGTTTGAAATCAAGAGATTAACGATTCTGAAGAGAAAATTACCGCAGATTCCAGCAGCCCGTTAAATAAGAATAGTTGTCGCGCCAGTTTAACCGGCTCGCGATGACCTGAGTTGACAGCTAGTCAGCAACGTTTGGATTTGAACATAAACATTGAAACCACTCCCTAACAACGTGTCAAAATCCGCCTAGAAACGTCATCGCCGAAACAGTTAAAATTAACCCGACTACTGTTCTTATTTAACGCTCTACCTGCGTGAATCTGTAGTAACCGTATTCTCGTAACCTTATTATATAACCTTATTCTTGTATAATATAATTGTAAATCCCTCGGAAAATATAACCGTCGCCGAATCCCCCTCACTCCAGGTCTATAATAATGATAATTGGCGAATATTAATATTAGAACAACTGAAATAAACGAACCCATTTTTTTCAAATCTGTGAACAAACAGTAATAACACCCTAATGTCATGCTACATTTATAACATAATAGTACGATAAAGCGTATTAATATAAATATGTTTCACCTAACAATATTCCACATCTAATAGTTTACATACGCAGTCACTTGAGCAATCAAAATGTTTGAATGTTCATCAACAATAACCCTTTACCAGTTGATGTCAAAATTATATTAACAAAAGTGGTTTCAAACACAACTACATTTAATACATATTTTCTATGGCACATGCAAAGACGTTATTAACCAGGATTTTAGGGTTGAAAAAAGTCTAAAGTATAAAGTTAATTTCAACACCGAATTTTTCGAAATGTTTCCCATTTGTGAATAACGGGCATTTTGGAAACCATCAAACTTTTGCCTTGGCATTCACTGACATCGACCAATATTCCGCGGTTTATATTCATTGGCTCGATGAAATCCTGGTATTCTGTCTTTCCTCGAATTGCCAGATCAGCGAGTATCTTTCCAATCATTGGAACAAATTTCATTGCCCAACCACCTGTGAACACGACGATACGCTTTGACTTGGGCAGAAAATCCAAAACAAATCCTGCATCTTGGTCAGATCCTGAAACATTTAATTGCGCAAAACCAGCGATACACGTTGTTTCTTTGTCCGCATTGCTAGACGGGCTCAGATCAGGCATGAATTTTTCGACGAAATCTGTTGTGAATTTTAGTGCGTCCACATCGACTGGTCGTTGGTTCACATCGGGAGGAAAGAACAAGAAGTCGAATTCTTCGCGTGAGGTATACGCAGGTGCAACTCGTAAGTATTCCGGACTACCAGGCTCGCTTGGGAATCCGTAATAATCGTTGTAATCTTTTGGGGCATCGCTACCGTCATCCTTTGGTTTAGGTCCAAAGAAATACCAAATAGGCCATTGAGCTGGATCGGTGTTTGATGCACTTTTTCTCTTCTTTGTGTAATAAGTGGAACACCAGAGGTAGATGATCAGGTTGATACGTTGATTGAAGCATGGAGATAGAGCGTCCAAGGCTTCGTTCACATACGCTCCTGGGGTGAGGATAATCTTTGTACCCTGGTAGGTTTTCTCGTTTCCATCAACCAGTGCTGTAACTTTAACGCTATCTTCCAAGGAATGATCGATCTTAATTACACGCGCTTTAAGTTTCAATGTTGCATTCGTACTTGCTGTTAATTTCTCAACATAACGTTGAACCACGCTGGGGACATTTACAGTCCCACCTTTCTCCGTAAAGAGAGCTTTCGCATCTTTTATGCCATGCAGTCACAGCGCTGGAGACAAATGTGAACCTAGGATCATTCATAACTTCCTCCTTTCCTTCAAGAACTATATAATCTTTGCCTTGCTCTTGGCCAAGTGCCTCGAGGTTGTCAATTGCTTTGCGAATGTTTCCCTCGCTGCTTTCAACAGTGGAATCACCGAACCAGAGACAACCTGTTACTTGAAGAAGACTTTCGTCGTTCATCTCTTTTTGGAGTTTCATCCACATATCGTAGGTCTTCAGAGCAAGATTGCACAAATTCATTTCGGAATATGCTATGCGGTATTGTCGACTGTATCCAGGACTTGAACCGTGTGCGTTGGCAAAATTGTTAAACTGCTCAAGGAGAAGAACTTTCTTTCCTTCTTTAACACTACATTCGTAAGCGGCGGCGAGACCCATTGGTCCTCCTCCAACAATAATTACGTCATACAATTCTTCCATCGAGCCAAATGAATAGATTGATCAGGAACGTTTTAAAACAATCTAAATGTAAATAACGATTTTACTACTGAATTCGAATTCATCACAAGCGACTAGTTCATTTCCTTTTTCATTTGTCATTCCAAACTCGTTCCTCGAGCTCGCGAATTCCTCTGACGAGGAAACAAAGCCTCTGGGATAGACAAATCTGAATAGATAATGATTGGTCGTTCACACCGTTAGAATGTTGTAATACAATACATAAATTAACAAACCAGAATTTCTGGCTTCTAGATTGAATTATGCCAGAGACCTTCCTCGCTGGAGGAAATCGCTGGCCCGGGGAACGAGATTGTGCTCATTCATTCTTTGCTCCTTTTTATTTGCCCTCGAACCTAGCTTGTTAGACAAAACCCAAACTAAATTAGTTACTAAAAGTTCTTATTATAAGGAAAAATTGCGGCCGCAGATCTGAATAAGAAATCTTTACTTAAAAGTTGAAGATGAATTTTAGAGACGACAGTTTTATTCAGAAATTCTTGGAAGACCAGGGCAAAAGTGTGACATTAATGAGGTGAACATAAAGTGTACCGCTGCAGTCTAGACTCTAGAACTAAGTGTTCATTCAGAGCTTTTACTGATACATTTTTCTCCCTTTAATGTAATAAATACATTTATAAAAAAGGTACAGGGCTTCCATGAATTATTTGCATATTGCTTTCCTCACACAGGGATGGGATTGGTGAGCAGAAAGAAACAAAGAACTTTTGAAAAGAATGTATAATTTATGCAATTAATATGACCCCCTCCCCCAGAGTGGAGCACTTTTCTACGGAAATTTTCTTAGAAGTGGAAACCCTGAAAAGGTATATAATATATTGCGTACCATGAAATTAAAATATTTTGCGCTGTTGAAACTTTAATTCGCCTCTCAGTGCCTTTTTTAAGTATATATCATGGTGGGGGGGGGGAATTGCTCCTCCAGAGAATGCATTTCCCCCCATAGTAACTACATTTCTGCCCACGTAATGCGACACAGTATTGCTCATGATTGCTCTGAGAATTGCTGTTGATTTACTTGATAAAGAGATGATGCCTTTCAATAGCCTTCTCCACAGCCATCT